GATGGTGGACGTGGCTCACTCCAGCATAACTGGCTACTGTGCTAAATCCCAAAGGCCTCGCCCGATCCTCAATTTAATGAGCTAAGTGCTGTGGTTTCCCTCGTTTTGCAGATGAGATCTAGAGGCATTCAGTGCCTTGCCATGTGGAGGGTGCTCGCCAGGATTTGAACGCCTGCAAGGTGCGATGGGCAGGGGTTAACGTGCTCAGCTCTGGGAGGAGGCAGACTGCAGGCGTCTGCCAGGCAGATCCCCGCTTTTCTCCTGCTTTAACTGCACTAAAACTCTCCTGCAGAAAGGAGAACTTTGGCGGCTCTCGGAGATCCCGGGTGCTTGGAACACTTCCTGCCCAGTGACAGTGTCAGCAGCTGCCACCAGCCCCAGGACCTGCCGCGGACGCCAGCAACCACCAGCGCCAGCAGTGGGTCTCAGCATGCACTGGATCCCTGTGGCCACCTGTGCTACTCACCTCCTCCCCAGGGTATAGAGGCATCTTCTGACCAGGGCAAGTCACTGTCATGAGCCAGTGCCACTCACAGCCTTCCAGGGCCTGACTTCGCTTCCCGACGCCGAAAGCTTGGGCCGGGCTCCCAAAACAGCCCTTTCTGTCTCTTCCCTCACCAAAAATCTTGGGGGCCAGAGACAGTGGGGGGAAGAAGTGGACATGGCAGCTTTAGCTTGGACAGTGCCCTGTCACCTGGAGGTGGCACTGCCCTGGCCATCTCTCTGTGCCTCTCCTTCCCCTGCCCAGTGCTGACCTCGTCTCTCCTGGATGTCCCCATACTCGGGGCCTTGAGCTCATCTGCTGAGAACATCTGCTCACGGGACGTAGCACTGTGGCTTCTCCTCCTCTCACAGTTGCTACCCAGGGCAGTGGAAGGCTCTGAGCAAATCACTGACCGATGCTTACGTTTAACGTGTGTTTGCATGACTCAAAAGCAGAGTCATTCCTTCCATGAAAGCAGGGGCCCTCCTTGGGGGAGGTGAGCAGAGCGTTCGTTCACACGACAGCCACACCACCTGGCGGCTCAGAGCCCTGGGCGCGTGCTCACCTGCTCTGCGCCTCGCCTCGGCTTCCTCCTCTCTCAAGGCGCACACAATAGGAGATTGCTTAGGAATTTGTTAGAGTATTAAGTGACGTGAAGTGCCCCTCAGCTGCGGCCAGAGTGGTGAGGAGACAGACCTTGGCTCTCACCATCCTTGCCATATTCAAGTTCTCTGATCTTCTCCGGCTCCTTTGACCTCTCGAAGCCTCTGTTGCAGAATCATAAAATGCCCGTGAACTCTGAAGGTTAAACCACTGCACAGAGGATAACAAAATATGGAGCCAGTGTTGAGGTACAGTGGATAAAGCCATCCCCTGCAACACCGGCATCACATATGTGCGCTGGTTCATGTCTGAGCTGCTTCACTTCTGATACAGTTCCCTGCTAATGCACCTGGGAAAGCAACAAAACATGGGCCAAGTCCTTGGGCCCCTGCACCCACGTGGGAGACCCGGATGGAGCTCCTAGCTCCTGGCTTCAGCCTTTTTAACTGGAACCTACAAGTTTTGTAGCAGTCCTGGCCACATGTCTGCAGTCCTCAACAGGAAAACCCAAGCTAGATCTAAAGGAAGACACCATCCTAAAATGAGCCTCTAGGGCTGGCACTGTGGCACTGTGGCACTGTGGGTTAAGCTGCCGCCTGCAATGCCAGCACCCCATATTGGAGCATTGGTTTGAGTCCTGGCTGCTCTGCTTTCAATCCAGGTCACTGCTAATGTACCCAGGAAAGCAGCAGAGGATGGCCCAAGTGCTTGGGTCTCTGTACCCACATGGGAGACCAAGATGGAATTCTGGGCTCCTGGCTTCAGCCTAGCCCTGCCCAGACCATTGCAGCCATTTAGGGAGTAACTAGTGGATGGAAGATCTCTCTCTGTCTCTCCCTCTCTGTAACTCTGCCTTTCAATTAAATAAATCTAAAAAAGAAACTCATGGAAACTGCAAATTATGAAACACTGTATGTGGTTAAAAAACGATATATAAAAATCTTTAGTTTAAACCTCATGCAAGAAATATTAAAAGTAGGGGCCAGCGCTGTGGCACAGCAGGTTAATGCCCTGGCCTGAAGTGCTGGCATCCTATATGGGCACCGGTTTGAGACCCAGCTGCTCCACTTCCTATCCAGCTCTCTGCTATAGCCTGGGAAGGCAGTAGAAGATGGCCCAAGTCCATGGGCCCTTGCACCCATGTGGGAGACCTGGAAGAAGCTCCTGGCTCCTGACTTCAGATCAGCTCAGCTCCGGCCATTGCAGCCAATGAAAGATCTCTCTCTCTCTCTCTCTCTCTCTCTCTGCCTCTCCTCTCTCTGTGTAACTCTGACTTTCAAATAAATAAATAAATCTTTAAAAAATAAATATTAAAAGTAGAACCTAAATTTTAAATTAATTTTTTAATAGGTAAAATAAATTCAATGAATGAATGAAGACAAAACTAGGGCCAGCTTTAAAGAAAGCCAGTCAGCCAGCTATTTGTATCGAACACCTATTATCACCAACACTGGGGAAATACTGTTGAATCAAATAGGCACAAGTCCTGGCCTCATGGAACTTATAGTCTAGTGGAGACAGATTGATTTGAAATACATAATTTTAAGTAGATAATAATTACCAGTGATCTAAAAGGCAGACTTTTCATTAAAGTGTCTGAACTCAGTTACAAAAGTATCTACTGCAAAAGGTCACTGAATATGGACCAAAACAAAACGCTCTAGCTGTCCTTTGTACCTGAAAATATGTTGGTGATGTAGGCAATGTCATCTTTGCAGAAAAAGTTCTCTTTTTGGCTTCTTCGTATCTGATGGACTTCCTTTTTCACCAGTCTTTGGAAAACGCTGCAGCAATGCCATTTGGGAATAGCTTCCTGCCGTGGGAAACTGGCCTGGGCAAGTGGACAAATCTGCCAATGCAGGGCACTGTTCTCCACCAACACTGATGAGCACAGCCCCACCTGCACGCTGCAAGCAGAGCTGGTCTTGGAAGAGGTTGACTTTTTAATGAACAGTTCAAAATAAGAAGGCATGCACTAAATCTCATTTGCTTCCTCTTTCCCGGCTCTCAAGAACCACTGAGGGACAGACATGTGATGTAGCACTTCAGATTCCCACTTCTACTTTAGAATATATGGTTCAAGCTCCAGCTCTGCTTCCAATTCTAGCTTCCTGCCAATGCACGCTCTGAGAGGCACCAGGGGATGACTCAAGTAGTTGGGTCCCTGCCATCCATGTGAGAGACGGAAATTGAGTTCCCAGCTCCTTGCCACTGCAGCCATTTGAAGAGTGAGTCAGTTGAAGGGAGATGCCCTCAGCCCCTGCCACTCTGCCTCTCGAAACCAAATCACTGCATCAGGGCTGTGCTTCTAATTTTTTTTTTTTGACAGGTAGAGTTAGACAGTGAGAGAGAGAGACAGAGAAAGGTCTTCCTTCCGTTAGTTCATCCCCCAAATGGCTGCTACGGCCAGTGCTGTGCCAATCCAAAGCCAGGAGCCAGGTGCTTCCTCCTGGTCTCCCATGTGGCTGCAGGGGCCCAAGCACTTGGGCCATCCTCCACTGCCTTCCCAGGCTACAGCAGAGACCTGGACTGGGAGAGAAGCAACTGGGACTAGAACCTGGCTCCCATATGGGATGCCGGTGCCGCAGGCAGAGGATTAACCAAGTGAGCCACAGTGCCAGCCAGGGCTGTGCTTCTTACACTTACTTCTGCATGCCAAAAAAGGGTACAAACAAAAGTTCACCTCCACAACCTTCAAGACGAGGTCAGCCTCGTATCTCAAATCCAACATGGTGCTGGAGACAATATCCTACTAATGAGATAGTGAAACAAACCTGACTTTGAATCCCACCAGCTCCTAATGACGAAGCAGGGAAGCCTGAGCCTGGTGCGCTAAACAAATGAGCAGTAGAGAGGCTGATGGCACTGGGTTTAGGAAGCACTGATGGCACTGGGTTTAGGAAGCACTGTGGGCAGTGGTAGGCAGAAGCCTGGGGAAGAGAAGTGACTGAACACCTTTGACGGTTCAGGTGGAAGGAGCTGAAGGGACCAGGGCTCACAGGCAGACACCTAGTTTCAGGGGAACACCAGCAGAGGCGGTGTGGAGTGGACATGCTCGCTTGGCACTGCCCCAGGTGCAAGGTTCATGGCTGGAAGTTACAGAGAGGCAGACACAAGCTCTGAACAGGGAGGAGCATTCTAAAAACTCAAGGGGATGAGTAACTTCAACAGACAGTGAGCTTCCCATCACTGGGCATACTCAGCTGCAGGCTCCAGGGGCACCGGTCAGAGGTGGTACAGATGGAATCCCTGTGCTCCAAAGTTCCTCTATTGCTTGGGACTTGGAGTTCTGGGGGAGGATGGACCAATACCACGCCACAGGCCTGGGGAAGGGAGGATGCCTGCTTGCTAAGCACCACCACCCTTGAATGTAACTTCCAAGCTTGTGAACAATCCTTGGAGCGATAAGTCAGGGGGGACGAGGCTGGGGCCCAAGGACAGGATGGAAGGGGGTTGTTGGCTTGTGTCTTGTCCTGAATACGAGTATCTGAGTCTAAATCCATCCAGCAATGGGGCCACAAGTCCTCTGGCCCTGAGCACAAACTCACCCCCACCATGTATAGGGAGGAGAGGGTCAGCTTTTCATAGCTGGGAGACAACTGGGCACGGACTCCTCCCTTCCACAGTACAGAGCAGAGAGACCACAGATCATTTCTAAGAAAATGGCCAAGTAGGGATCCAGAGTAAGTTAAATATTCCCAGTGGACTTCATGAAAAGTTTCCTCTGATTCCAACCAATCTCAGTTCAAACGCATAGGGGCGCCTGGCTGGGTGTGGGTGCACTATTCAGTCCCTCAGAACTGCTCTCCTGAGTGCAAATGTGCAGAGTAAGAAGTTGGGGAGGGGAGGGTCAGTAGGAGAGAGCACTCCTAGCTCTGCTGAACCAAGCTGTGGGTCTTAGCAGCACCAGAGATCATAACAGAGAAACTTTAATGAGTGCTGGGTGGAAAATTAGGAGCTAACATCCTGAGGTTTCTCGGAAGCAGGCAAATCGTGGTGTTGCACGTTCTCTTTCAGCACGGGGAGCACCTGAGATCCCACAGACAGGAAGCACGGAGAAGAGGAATCCGGAGAGGTGTGCATCAGGTACACGCCGAAGTTCACCTGGGAACAAAGCAGCAGTAGCAACAGTGAAGATAATGTTACAAACAGCACTGTGCCTACGCCAGAGCTCTCCCAAGGCATGTACTGGGCCGTGATACATGCTATGTCTTACACAGGAGGATGTAGTGGGACACGGGGAGCATACGATCAGAGCCCGAAGATTCTCACTCCAAGCGTCCTGGCCCTGCAGTCAGCCCACGCCTCCTCCTTGCTGACCACGCACTTTCTATCTCTTTCCCACATGCCCTGTGCTGTCTGCTGCCGGATCTTCTCTCTTCTCTCAGCCTCTGACCACTGCCCATTTCCGCTCTGTTCTCTGATACAAAACCTTGCAAGGAAGATAAAGGCCAAATTCTGCATTTTTCCTTGCGAATGAGTGATGCAGGTTAAGTTCTCCAAGTTCTCCACAAGAAAGATGACGGAAGGTCCAAAATGAAGAACTCTCATGGTTTGTCCAAGGGTTGCCTTGGGTGTGAGGAGCCATTAAGTCCCCTGGGAGGACCTGATATGGTCCCCGGTCCTTTGGTGCTGACAACGACGTCTGTTAGACACCTTTCGGTTCTAGGACCCAGGCTTTGGGGCTGGGGCCAAGTTAATTCCTTCAGATTTGTGTACTTGTGGGTGAAGAGTACATGGAAACTCTCTGTACTCACTTTGCAACTTTTCCACCTAAAAGTATTTCCAACATAAAAGTAATGAAAATAAAATTGTTTCAAATTTTCAAAATAAGAGATTGGTGCATGGGGATCACGGTGACTGAGAAACACTACTTCCGTTCACCACAGTATTCCTGCCCACACAACTCTCCCCCAGGCAACCTCCATGGAGTAGGTTCAAGGTCCCTACAAGTGGGCAGTCATGTTGATACAACACTCAAAGGCAACACCCCAAATTTCACATCTCTCCCATATCTGCAAGGAGATATATGTAAGTGAAATATTGTGAAACAAAGCTCTGCATTAAAGAAACCCTAGAAACAGTACAGAACATTCTAGCATGAATTAACCTGCCAAATATTATTGAGAATAGGCTGAATGCTTGCATTATTTCTGTGAATGTTCAAGTAGTGTTCTATGCTGCCTTACTACTTACTTTTGTCTTCCTGGAATTCTTCACAAGGAAGAAATCCTAACAGAAAGTATGAGCCTAAAAATAAGTCTTACTAAAGAATCAGTGTGTTAGAAGTTCAAGGGGCCGGCGCTTGGTACAGCATGTTAAAGCCCCAGCCTGTGGCACTGGCATCCCATATGGGTGCTGGTTCGAGTCCCGGCTGCTCTACTTCCAATCCAGCTCCCTGCTAATGTGCTTGGGAAAGCAGTGGAGGATGGCCCAAGTCTTTGGGCCCCTGCACTGCGTGGGAGACTTTGAAGAAGCTCCTGGCTCCTTTTGGGTTGGCTCAGCTCCAGCCATAGTGAGCATCTGGGGAGTGGACCAGCGGATGGAAGACCTCGCTCTGTGTGTGTGTGTGTGTGTGTGTGTGTGTCCACCTCTCTCTGTAACCCTGTCAAATAAATAAATCTTAAAAAAAAAAAAAAAAAAAAAAAAAGAAGAAGAAGTTCAGATTGTGGTAACAATTACTCTCAAGAAGATGGGCTCACAGGCTCAGGATAATGACACTGACTGGCCCTTGCAGTAAAATACTCTGCATGAGAATTTTGGTAAAGAAAATAGCTGTCAAGAGAACAAGAATTACTTTACTCATTTTTTTTGTACTCACATCTCTTCAACAATATTTGAGAGCATAAAAAATACATGTAATAAAACAAAACCAAACAAAGAACAAGGAACTGGAAGGAATGGGAGAAACAGAGAGGACACAGACAAAGGCAGAGCCTTAGCGCTGGCTCTGCAGCCTGGGAACGGGCAGCGCAGTCCCCGCTTGGGAGAAGGTCTCGGCGCCGCCATCAGCCCGGTTCTGGGTTCTGGTGTCGGTAGCGTACCAGACCGCAACGCCGGGCGTGGGGCTCGGCCATCACGCTTACCTGTCTCTTGCGACTCTCAGAAAGTTTTTGGAAAACGTCCTGGTTTCGCTGCCCAGTTTTCTGGTCGATGCAGATCATCTGGCACCTGTGACACGGCCCCACTACCTGGAGAACAAAGCGGAGGGAAAAGACAGCGCTGCCGCTCGGTTGTCCAGGGGGAGATAGGCAGACGCGGCCCGCGCCCTCACCACCCAGAGCCAGAAAGTGGCCCCTTGTCACCAGGCCCCCACCGCCGGGCCGTCCCCATGGAGCGGTCAGCTCGACAAATGGCTACTGCTTCAGGGCTCAGCAGAGAAGGCAAGGAGGAGCGGAGACTCTCCGTGGTTTTGCAGAGTCCGAGGAAGCAAAGAACCAACCAGAAGGGCACACTGTGGGGCGGGAAACTGCCACTGTGCAGAAGGCACCAGAGAGACCCTCCTTGCACCCAGTGGTGTGACTTCTGGGAGATTCACCCAGGGAAGGAACCGGAAGTACGGAGACAGTCACACAGGATTTGCCTTCATCTTATCATACAGGGACAGCTGAGTAACGCCTTAACCCTACAGCAGAGAAGCAGGTACGTGTGAGGAGGCACAGCTTGGCAGCACCAGAGTTCATCCATAAAGCTCTGCATGTAAAATGGGGAAGTGTTTACTTTTATGATTGAGATGAGCAGAAAAGAGGTTACACAGGTACTTTATATATGTGTGTAATGTGTGTGTATATATATCCAGATGTAAACACTTAAACACACACACACATAAAAAAAAAAAAAAAGATACAGCTTCTTAAAACAGGGCTCACCATACTGCAGAACTTCTGTACTGGATGGTCTGCCATGAGCTTTTATTTAGTTATTTATTTTAAGATGTATTTATTTATTTGAAATGCAGAGTTACAGAGAGGCAGAGGCAGAGAGAGAGAGAGAGAGGTCTTCAACTGCTGGTTCACTCCCCAAATGGCTGCAATGGTGAGGGCTGGGCCAGGCTGAAGCCAGGAGCCAGGAGCTTCTTCCAGATCTCTCACAAGGGTGCAGGGGCCCAAGCACTAGGACCATCTTCTACTGCTTTCCCAGGTGCATTAGCAGAGAGCTGGATCGGAAGCAGAGCAGCCAGGACTTGAACCAGTGCCCATATGGGATGCTGGTACTGCAGGTAGCGGGCTTTACCTATTATGCCACAGCGCTGGCCCCAGAGCTTTTACTTCTTTTGTAGTGAGAGGATCCCCCACAAATGTAAACATAAAAATGAAAGCATGTTGAGCAGATGTTTGGCGTAGCAGGTAAGACGACACTTGGGACACTCACATCTCGTATCAGGGTGCCTGGGTTCCAGCTCCAGCTCTGCTCCCAACTCCTGCTTCCTGCTAATGTGCACCCCGGGAGGCAGCAGGTTATGGCTCAAGTACCTGGGTCTCTGGGCATGTGGGAGATCCGGATTGTGTTCCTGACCCCTGGCTCCTGGCTCCTGGCTCCAGCCTGGCCCAGCCTTGGCTATTGTGAGGATTTGGACAGTGAGTGAACCAGCAAATGGAAGATCTCTGTCTGTCTCTCTACCTTTCAAATAAATTAAATACATAAATGATTTTTAAAAAACTAAAGCATATAGTCCAGTAGTGACAAGATGTTTTCAATGCACACGTAAAAGGTGCAAAGATACTTGGTTTTCTTTTAATCATTTTCTTCTCTGCTCACACGTGGGCAAATAGAAATAGTGTACTGAAGTTACACATACCTAAGCTGGATATGTCTTGGCCTGTACCTATTAAGTGCACTCTGGCTGGTGGGCATTAAGCCAGAGGAAACAGAACCTCCTGTGGTTCACGGTCAAGCTTCCAAGGCAGGGGCAGGCGTGTGCTGCAGTGGTTAGGACGCCACTGGGGAAGCTCACATCCCCTAGGCAGTGTCTGGTCCAAGTCTCAGCAACTCTGCTTCTGACCCAGCTTCCTGCTGATGCCCACCCTGGCAGGCAGCAGGTGACAGCCCCAGCACTGAGCCCCTGAACTCAAGTTGGAGACCTGCACAGAGTTCCAGGATCCTGGCTTCAGCCTGGCCTAGTTCTGGCTGTGGCAGGCATTTGGGGAGTGAACCAGAAGACAGAAGATGTCTGTCTATCTGTCTCTCTCTCTCTCTCTCCATTTCAAATAAAATGAAAATAAAGACAATTAAAAGAAAACATGCCCAGGCCACATAAGCAGCTGAAATGGGCTAGAAAGGAGCCCTGCCTGTTTCTTGCCTGAGACACTCAGCTGACCCGTGACCCTTCCTGGGACACTCGGCTGACCCAGGACTCGGGACCCCGGACCCCTGCAGGCTTCACTTTCTCATCCAGCTCCTTAGCTGGATTATTTTTTAAGATTTATTTGTTTGTTTATTTGAAAGACAGAATTACAGAGAAAGGAGAAAAGCTACAGAGAGAAAGAGGTCTTCCATCCGCTGGTTCATTCCCCAAGTGGCTACAACCACCAGAGCTGAGCCAATCTGAAGCCAGGAGCTTCTTCCGGATCTCCCACACAGGTGCAGGGGCCCAGGCACCTGGGCCTTCTTCTACTGCTTTTCCAGGCCACAGCAGAGAATTGGATCAGAAACAGAGCATCTGGGACTTGAACCAGCACCCATATAGGATGCCAGCATCTCGGTGGCAGATTTACCCACTGTGTCACAGCGCCGGCCCCCTTAGCTGGATTTGATGATGATTCCAGATGCTATTTCTGCCCAGCCCAGGTGTACCACTCTGTCATGCTCAAAAGTGACACCTTTCACTCATATGTGAGAACCCCTGAGATGGGGCGGGACCCAGTGTGGCTCTGAGTTTACAGAACCCTCTTACCCTCTCTGCCTGCAGCAGCGCTGGTCCCCTGGGCCCCGCACCTGCCAAACGGCTGCCAGGATCCAGCAGCACCCGCAAGCCCGGGACCAGGCTCCAGCTGCCACTAAATAAAAACCTTGTCACTTTGGCAAAAGGTTCCTTTAAAACAGCTAATCAAACAGGAGAAGGCGGGACATTTTCCAGACACTCTTTTCAAACACCAACACAAAGAAGGCAATTTTTGTAAAGCAGCGTCATTTCTAAGCTTTTTTTCTTTCTGTTACTCTCAGCAATTGACATTTTAAAAAACGTGTTTACTAGCATATATGGTCATTTGAAAATGAGTCAAACAGCAACACAGACACTAGAAGGATGAAGAGAGCGAGCAGGGACAGCACAGCAGTTAGGACCCCACTAGGGGATGTCTGCAGCCCATACAGGAGTGCCTGGGTTCAAGTCCTGGCTCCGCTCAGGATTCCTGTTAATGCACACCCTGGGAAGCAGCGATGCTATCCGGAGCAGCTGTGTCCCTGCCACCTACGTGGGAGACCTGGACTAAGTTCCCAGCTCCTGGCTTCCCTGTTGGGGGCTCGCTCACTTGCTCTCTCTCTCTCTCTCTCTCACCCTCCTTCCCCCCTCAAATTTAAAAAGTGTGTGTGTCGCAGGGGGAGGGAGGCAACAGAATGAGGCAAACTGAGGGAAATCTAAGAAGATAGGCTTGGTCCCCATCCTTCTATGCTCATAAGGAAAAAGTAGCCACTGTGCAGAGAGTGACTGCGGGTGTGTCGGGGCCAACCTCTCTGAGGAGATGACAATGGAGCCGAGACCCAAAAGAAGGCTACATGCCAGGCAGGAGAGACAGCAGGGGCCCCGGAGCTGCAGCACAAAGGTGGGCTTGCTTCAAGATTGGGTCTGGAGCAGAGAGGGGAAGGGGTGACGAGCCCACAGAGGTCCACAGAGTCGAACCTCGTGAGTTTCTGTCAACAGTGGGAAGACTGCAAATCTTAACCTCAGAATTTTTTCTTCCATCTCACACCTTGAGAGCCCCACGCCCAAGGAGGGAGGTCGTCTGCGAGCTTTGTCTCCACCTAGGACTTCTTCCCCAGGCTGTACCTGGGCAGAAGCCAGAGTGTGCCGAGAAGCAGGAGCGGCCATGGCACTGAGGGCCACCGGGTTTCTGAGGCTGCCTCCACGAGCTGCAGCCTGCCAGAGAAAGCCCCAGGATCTGCTCACACAGACATGAGTGCTCCAAGAAATGAGAGGGTGGGCCCAGACATGGCACTGAGCCCCCGAGGGTCTGTGGGTGGCACATTCTCTGTTCCCTGTGTGAAACTGACTGCGGCCACCTCCTGGGGAGTGAGGGATAGATCATTCCAGGAAGTACCCCAGGATGCCAAGGTCACCACCATGCTGAGATCTTGTAGGTAAGAGCCAAGAGCATGGAGGACTCCCCACCTGCCACCTCCAGCTCAGAGATGGAGGTCTGTGTTCACTGGAGACCTGTAGGAAGGAGAGCCGAACTTCTCGGGACTTACCTGGAAATGCAAGGAGCCAACTGAGATTCCATCCCAATTCTCTTCTTCAAAAGCCCTTGTTCCACTGATAATGATATTGGCACGGAAGCGCGAGATGAGGTCTTGCATTGGGAATGATTCCTGCCTTCCATTCTCATTGCTGCATAAGACAAACCCACAGCGTGTGTGGCAGAGCGAGGCACACCAGGCCTCACCAGGCACACCAGATGATTCAACCTGCCTGCCCCGCAATGCCTCACTACGTCAGCTCCCTCCGGCCTGAGGCCTGCATGGCAAGAAGCAAACGTCTGCCACGAGTGTAAGGCTGAGAGACGCCCACCGACTAAACAGCCTTCAACAGCCTGAGATCTGGTCCCACCTCCCGGGAGGCCCACGAGAGGCAGGCAGAGATGGGGCAGGTCTGAGCTGAAGAGGTGAAGGGCTTGGGAAGTCAGGTGGACAGCGCTCTGGAATACCGTGTCTGGAAAGGGGACAGCCCCAAGCAGTGAAAGACTTGACAACAGGCTACACTGCCCAGGACCTCAAAAGCACACTGCCTTTGTGTGTTAAAATATCATAAATACACGGGGCCAGCGTTGTAGCCCAGCAGGTTACACTGCTGCTTGCCTCATCAGCATCCTATGTAAGGGCGCTGGCTCCAGTCCCAGCTGCTCTGTTTCTCACCCAGCCCCCTGCCAAAGCACCTGGGAAGGCAGTGGAAGATGGCCCAAGTCCTTGGGCCCCGTCATCCATGTTGAAGATCCATGTGGAGTTCCTAGGTCCTGACTTTGACCTGGCCCAGCCCTGGGTGTTAGTCTTGGGCCCTGTTTCCCTTACCTTTGGCTGCCTGCCCCACACATAAGCCCTGCTCTAAACCAGCTGGTGGAAAACATGGCCCCTGGTAGGAACCCAGATTGCAGCAAGCCTGTCCCTCCTCCCACCTTTTCATACCAGGGACCTCCTGACAACTGTAGACCTACTCTCTGTCGGGCTGTAGGCACCCAAGGAGGAGGGTCACCCAGTGTCTCATCAGAACTCATTTAACATGGCCGGCACTGTGCCATAGTAGGTTAAGCCTCCACCTGCAGTGCTGGCATCCCATATGGGCACTGGTTCAAGTCCCGGCTGCTCCACTTCTGATCCAGCTCTCTGCTATGGCCTGGGAAAGCAGTAGAAGATGGCTCAAGTGCTTGGGCGCCTGCGCCCACGTGGGAGACCTGGAAGAAGCTCCTGGCTCCTGGCTTCGGATTGCCTCAGCTCTGGCCGTTGCAGCCATTTGGGGAGTGAATCAGCAGATGGAAGACCTTTCTCTCTGTCTCTCCCTCTGTCTGTAACTCTGCCTCTCAAATAAATAAATAAATTTTTTAAAAAAATTTTAAAAAAATGAAAAACTCAATCATCACCCAGGGACCATGCACTGCAATCACGCTCTGGCTCCCAAGGAAGGGGAGCTGGCCCACTAGAATTTGGTATGTTTGTGCCAATGACTATTATGAAAGTTGACTGGGGCCAGTGCTGTGGCACAGTAGGCTAATCCTCCGCCCGCAGCACCTGCATCCCATATGGGCACCGGTTCTAGTCCCAGCTGCTCCTCTTCCAATCCAGCTCTGTGCTATGGCCTGGGAAAGCAGTAGAGGATGGCCCAAGTGCTTAGGCCCCTGCACCTGCAGGGGAGCTCCTGGCTTTGGATTGGCCCAGCTCTAACCATTGTAGCCATTTGGGAAGTGAACCAGCAGAAGGAAGACTTTTCTCTCTGTCTCTCCCTCTCACTAACTCTACCTCTCAAATAAATAAATGAAATATTTAAAAAATAAAGAAGTTGATTATACAAAATGGAATCAGTCATGTCACACCCAACTGCAATGGAGTTAAAAGGCTATGGAGAACAACACTCAGGTTACACACACCTGTTTCAAAAATTATCTTACAAACACAATCCAAAAAGGCCTAAACCTAACTCCAAGATTACAAGTCCTACCTAGCAACCACTGACATGTGCCAATCAGAACTCACCAGCTCATCTTAGGCACTGATATTGGCAATGACCTTTCTTTCACAAGAACTTTCCTAACCTCTTCCTTCCCCTCAAAAAACCCTAACACTGTCCTTTGTTCTGTAGACACACCCAGAGGCTACTCTGGTCTTCGCGGTAGAAATTGCAATTCTTGTGTACTGTTCCTAAAGAAACCTTTTGCTTAGAGATTTGTCTTTATCTATTTTTATTTCAAGTTGATGCTATAAACAGGAATTACGGCAAACAGCCCATCTTGAGGCAGTCAGGAGGGGCCCTTGGTCACACCATCAAACTATATTTGTGTGTGTTGAATGTGCACGTGCAGGCACATGGTCACATGGCCCACAAGACTCACAGGATGCTCGGCTCACGGTGCACAAGGTGTGTGCACACTCCTCTCTGGACTGTGTGCCAGGAATGAGGAACCTGCCTGGCCTGGCTCTGGCCTGACAGCCGGCTGATTTCCCCTCACTGCCTGACTACCTTGGGAGTCCAGTCTCCCCTGAAGAACAATGAAGGGGTTGGCCCAACCAAGGCCTCCAAGAGCTGACTTCCTAGCACTGCCTGGGCCCTTGGGTGAACACTGGGCAGGAGACAGCAGGCAGGGGTGCTGGCTGCTTTGCTGGTGGAGCCTATAAATTAAACATCGCATATGTGCAAGTACAACTTCAAAGGCTTTTATAACCTCTCTTTTTTCAGCCCTTAAAAGAATTGTGTCAAGTAGGGCAAGCCTCCTGGGGACAGAGGACAGTGGGAGAGCTGGCCAAGAAATTGGGTCAAGTTGATGGTAATTCACTTAAAACAAGCATTAAGAAATGGAATGATTAGGGGCTGGTGTTGTGACACAGTGGGTTGTGGCCCGTGGGTTAAGTCACCACCTCTGACACCAGCATCCCATAGGAGCGCTGGTTCCAGGCCCAGATGCACACTTCTGATCCAGCTCCCTGCTGATGTGCCTGGGAAAGCCGCTGAGAATGGTCTGAGTGTTTGGGACCCTGCTACTTAGTGGGGGAGACCCAGATGGAGTTCTGGGCCCCTGACTTCAGCCTGGCCCAGCCCTGGCTGTTGCAGCTACTTGGGGAATGAACCAGCAGATGGAAGATCTCTCTCTCTCTCTCTCTCTCTCTCTCTCTGACTCTGCCTTTCAAATAAAATAAATAAGTCTTCTAAAAAATGGAATGATTAAAAATGAGAGCTGGGATTCTCCTCTAAGGATCTTGAGGCTGTTAAGAAGGATCACTGGGAAGTAACAGAGACCTGTCAGGGAGACCAGTGGGAACCGACCGAAAGGGCCTCTGGCGTCCTGGACTCAGATGGACTCCGTGACTCTCAAGTCTTTCTTCCCCAGGTAGGGGCCAGGCCCAGCTCCAGAGGCTACATTTTTTTTTAAGATTTGTTTATTTACTTGGAAGGCAGGGTTATAGAAAGAAAGGAGGAGAGACAGAGAGTGAGATCTTCCATTCACTGGTTCACTTCCCAAATGGCCACAACAGCCAGGGCTGAGTCAGGCCAAAGCCAGGAGCCAGGAGCTTCTTCTGAGTCTCCCACGTGGGTGCAGGGGCCCAAGGACTTGGGCTGTCTTCCGCTGCTTTCCCAAGTGCACTAGAGAGCTGGATCAGAAGTGCAGCAGCCACATGGGATGGCTTTATCTGCCAGTACCAGCCCGCAGAGGTTATACTTGTCTGCCAGGCCTCAGCTAAGGGATCTTACCTCGTGCTTAGCTGTTGCTGAAGTTCCCACACACTTGAGCGGTTTACCAGCAGGTACTGTGCCTCATTCACCAGAGAAAGGGTGGCTGTTGCGGCAGGAAATTGATCTGAAAATAATGGAGCATTGAGAAGAAGGGTTGCTTTCTTGGAATGCAAATAAATCTGTTTTCCTGGACTTCTATTTTTTTAAAGATTTATTTATTTATTTGAAAGTCAGAGTTACACAGAGAGAGAACAAGAGGCAGAGAGAGAAAGAGAGAGGGAGAGAGAGAGAGGTCTTCCATCTGCTGGTTCACTCCCCAATTGGCCACAACAACCGGAGCTGAGGCAATCCGAAGCCAGGAGCCAGGAGCTTCTTCCGGGTCTCCCATGTGGGTTCAGGGGCCCAAGGACTTGAGCCATCTTCTACTGCTTTCTCACACCATAGCAGAGAGCTGGATTGGAAGTGGAGCAGCTGGGACTCGAACTGGCGCCCATATGGGATGCCAGCACTGCAGGTGGCGGCTCTACCCACTACGCCACAGCGCCAGCCCCTGGACTTGCATTTTCAAAGGTAGATTCTGTTTCTACAAGAGAAAAAGGTGGTGCCCTGACAAAAACAAAAATGCCCTACACATGGCTCAGACCTCTCAAAAGCAGAAAGGAAAATGAATTCCTAGAATATTCCACTTAACATAATCTAAAGTCAAGCACTGTGGCACATGGGGTCAAGACCCTGAGTGGGACACCCACAGTCTATAGAATATTCCATTTAACATAATCTAAAGTCAAGCACTGTGGCACATGGTATTAAGACCCTGACTGGGACACCCACAGTCCATATTAGAGCTCCTCATTGGAGTTCCAGCTGCTCTGTACTTCCGATGCACTTCCTGGAATGCACCTGGGAAGCAGCAGATGATGACTCAGGTACATGGGTCCCTGCAGCCCATGTGGGAGAGCTGGATGGAATGCCAGCTCCTGGCTTCAGTGTGGCCCAGACCTGGCTGTTGCAGGCATTTGGGGAGTGAACCAACAGACAGAAAATATTAATTTCTCTCTTTCTCTTCTCTCAATCACTTTAACTTTCAAGCAGATTAAAATAAATAGCATTTTAAATAAAAGTGAATCATCTGGACAGAATCACAATAAAATTCTGCAGTGGAAGCAATGAAGACTTGCAAGCAACACTTAAGGAGAGGTTGGGGTAGGGGGGCAGAGGGGAGGAGCAGGTGTATCCTTCCTCAAGGCAAAACAAGGCAGAGGGGCATGAACGAGAGCAGTAGGCCCAGGAAGATCTGAATCCAATCAGGTAGAGCTGTTGGTCCTTGGGCAAATATGAAATATTGATTTCAGAGGTAAGTGGAAGTTTTAAAACTTCTGAAAGGGGGAAAAACTTTTCAAAGAAAATCTCAAGTCCTTTCAGAACTGCTGGCCACCTATCACTAGGCTTCATTTGCTGGGGTAGCCATGGCTAACTTTATCCATGCTATTAGTAAAAGGGTTTTGGAGGAGGGTTGATGCATCAGTTAAGATGCCATTGTGGGGGGGGGGGGGGGGGACCGGCGCTGTGGTGTAGCGGCGGCGCCTATTGAGCTGTGGCGCCGGCCCCATTATGTGTGCTTCTAACATGCACCACTTGAGCTCCACTCTCCTTGACCCCCAGGAGGGGCCCATGGAGCCCACTGGTCCCATCCACCTGAGGACCCCCCGCAGCTTTCCACCAAAGGCTGACCACCCCTGCTTTCTGCCTGTGAGCAAGCAGCCCTGGAAAGCCACTCCGTGGGCAGTTCTCAACGTGTGCCAGGAAAACCCAAGGTCCTGTCCTCCAGGAACCCGCACCACACCTAATACCTTGTCCGTGTTTCTTCTTTGCATTCCGCTGGAAGCTTGAACTTTGTTTGATTAGATGACATGGACGGCCAAAGAACCTCGACAACCAGTTTGAGATTTTCTCTCCACAATCGTACGTATTTACCCTGGGGAGGGAAAAAGAAGAGGGCGAGCTGCTTTGTAGCATTTCTTTAACAATAAGCAGATTGAGAGAAGTTAGATGACAAAATACAACACCACACAGGCCCCCAGGGAGAACGCAGCCAAAAGTGTGCGTGGGAAGCCGCCAGGAGATTCCGAGGCCCAGGAAGGCCTGGTAGGGGATGGGGGAGAGGAGGACAGAGGAGGGAGGAGGCTCATGGGAAGTTGTCCCACCAGATAAACAGCTTTAGAAGCCCCTCCCAAAAGCATTTTTTATATGAATTATCAACACTGAGAACCACAAAAGTTGCAAATGAGACCTTCCAGAGTGGTGCTTTGCTTTAAGAAATAATTGAACCCCAAAACCTGTCCTAGGTGTCCGCCAGGGGCCTGATCACGTGGACTGCTCGCTTGCCCACGGGGTCACCACGCCTCTAAGTTACTGGTGCAAGCACCTTTTTTGATGTGCTGTTTCCAAACTCCAGGATCCTCTTGGATTATCTCAAGTGCACATCACATCAATGTGAATTTATAATGCACGATCACCCATGTCTTACTGTGGGATTACAAACAGGTACTGTTGAAAATCTACCTTCTCCTTAATACTTCCTGGGGAAACAGCTGTCCTGCTCTGGGAGGGAGAGGGGAGCCTGGGACCTCACTTTGTAGCACATTGTCCTGTGCTGTGAGGGCCTGCACTCACGTCTGTGTTTGTTATATCGAGAATTTAGTTCCCAAGCATGAACACATCTACTCTCTCCTTATCCAGAAAGCTCTGTTATCCTCTAGAATATTGCATTCCTCCCAGGTGCAGTTAAGTGAAATGTACAGCCAAGGACAAGCCCACGAAATAATTGTGTGTATCCCTACATGGCTGTATTTCTCCCAGAAAACTGGTTTCAGCGACAAGCAAAGATGTTTACCCAAAATCCTTTGCCCTAGTTGAAAATGTGCTATAATTAACAGTTAAATTGGCTGATACAGTTAAATTGGTGCACATACTGGCAAGAAGATGGAGTGCTCAGCTCTTTGGCCAGCAGGGCCAATGACACTCACCTGTGCTCATTCACAGTCCTCATGCTATGGGCCTGGCACCTGTCCTGGGGTGTAACCTTTCATAGTCTCAGAGGGATCCTCTGTCTGGCCCCCAGAGGCACTGATGACTTGGTCCAGTTTGGATGTGGCTTTAGTAAGTGACACATCACATCAGGACTCGCATGCCACACGCCCCATCAGGGCAGAAGGATACATGATGTTATCTGTCAGTAAGCAGTGTCGGTGTCTACTGAGCACAGATGCACCCACTGACTAGGTCACTGCATTGACTAACAGGCAGTGAGAGCGCTAAAAGCATGTTAGTATATGTAAATCTTCAGTGAACTGTTATTTAGGTAACTTTCAGGATTTGAAGGGGAAACTGGCTGGGATATTAGACAGGATAGTTTTCCCATGAGTGGAAAATTTGCTATTCCCTATTTTCAGATAAAGATCAGATTTCAATAACAAGGAATACAAACATTTGGTTAATTCAATCAACAGATTTCTAAACAATGTGTGATCAAGAAATAAAACAGGGGGCCGGCGCTGTGGCACAGCAGGTAAAGCTGCCACCTGCAGTGCTGGCATCCCATATGGGCACCGGTTCAAGTCCCGGCTGCTCCACTTCCAATCCAGCTCTCTGCTATGGCCTGGGAAAGCAGTAGAAGATGGTTTAAGTCCTTGGGCCCCTGCACCTGCATGGGAGACCCAGAAGACCCTGGCTCCTGGCTTTGGATAGGCACAGCTCCAGCCATTGTGGCCAATTGGGGAATGAACCAGCAGATGGAAGACCTCTCTCTCTCTGCCTCTCCTCTCTCTGTGTAACTCTGACTTTCAAATAAATAAAATCTTTAAAAAAAAAAAAAAAAAGAAAGAAAGAAAGAAAACAGGTGTGCTATTACATTCGACCTAACTTTACATTTCCTAGAGTATAACAGATGGGCTGCCAACAACCCGGGTTGGGGAATAATCCACAGCTGCATGGAACGGAAAGCTATACTTGAGACAGCTGAGGGGCCTCCTGCTCCAGCCTGTCAGCTAGTTCAGGCTGTTCTGTATCAGGAATGTGTCTGATAGCTGCCTGATTCTTCTCTCTGCTCCCGTCCACCTTGTCTCAGCGGGTCACCTTGTCTCAGCGGGTCACTAACACGGGGGACTAGCCAGCCCTCCCACCTGCCTCCCTAACCCCTTCCAACCACGACACTGCTGCTCTCTCCAGAATGTGAATCAGGGCTCTTTCCTTGCCATCATGCCTCCTCGCCACCATTTCCCCAGCTAGTCTGTCCTTGCACCCCAAACTCCGCACCCCAGCAAGGAGAGCACAGGTAGTCCAGTTGGAAGATGAATGATAAATCAACAAATGTAATCTGTGGAGAATAATAATAAACACAAAGGGATGCAACAAGGCAGGGGGGCAGCAGGGGGGTGTCTGCGGACGGCTGGGTGGCCCTCTGAGGGTTTTGGAGCAGACCTGATGGAGGTGAGGCTGACAGAGGTGAGGGAATGAGCCGCACAGAGGTTTAAGTAAGAGCTTTCCAGGCAGAGGAAACGGTGAGGGCAAAGAGATGAGAAGGGTGCATGTTTGCTGGGATCCAAGAACACCAAGGAGCCCCCAGGGATAGCCTGGCGCGCCCGGCAGACTGGATCGGGGCAGGTGTAGCCGTGGATGGATCATACAAGGCTCGGCTCCTCTCCCCTCTGGGCCGCCCCGCCAGCGGAGCCGAGAGTCTCACCTGTCGGCACAGACCTTGCTTTGGCAAACCTGAGCCTGTTCACTGCTTTCCTCAAGAGGCACCTCGATAGGCTCCATCCCTAGTGAGCAAGGGTAGACAGACGTTGACCACCACGTAAAGGAATAATTAGGTAGTTAGGAAACATACTAATATTTTTAGGATACTGGCATTTGGTTGGATCAAGTAAATGGCTGGCTCTTAGAATTTTTTTTTTTTATAACAGAGATTTTTCTTCATTCTCATCAGTACGCCCAGCAGGGTCTGCTTTGCCCAGCTCCAGCACAGGAGACCCCGCACTGGGACAATCACATCCAGAGACCCTGGGCACTGGATACACTCTTCTGATTTTTCTATGTATGGAGAAGTACATCCTGAGGTCACTGGTCTCTAAGCTACCTTTAGGTCCTTTAGAAATAGACAAACACAAAGGAATATAGAACATGCACGTGCAACACTTTAAAATAATAATTAATATATTAATATCCTGGAAATCTGAACTTCAACAAGAAGAGTACAATAAAAGAAGTTTTTATAGGAATGTCCCTAATAAACACAGAAAAATACAAAGAAAAGTCTTGGTAAACCAAATCCATCACTGTGTTAAAAAGTCATTGCCGAGGGGGCCAGTGCTATGGCATAGCGGGTAAAGCAGCCATGCCAGTTTGAATCCGGCTGCCCCACTTCCGATCCAGCTCTCTGCTGTGGCCTAGGAAAGCAGTGGAAGATGGCCCAAGTGCTTGAGCCCCTGCACCCACGTGGGATACCCAGAAGAAGCTCCTGGCTCCTGACTTTGGATCAGCCTGGCTCTGGCTGTAGCAGCCATTTGGAAGAGTAAACCAGCAGGTGGAAGACCTCTCTCTCTCTCTCTGCCTCTCTGTGACTCTGCCTTTCAAATAAAATAAATAAAATCTTAAAAAAAAAAGTCATTGCCAAGTACTATTTTTTTTCAGGAGGTCAAGATTAGTTCCATTCTAGACAATCTACTCATGTAGCATATCATGTTAACAAATTACGGGAGAAAAAAAAACATGAAGACCAACAGAGGCAGAAAAAAACCTTCAGCAAGAACTATTAGTCAAGACAAAACTGTTAGCCAAAAAAAAAAAGAACTACTTTAGCCTGATAAGATAATTCTATCAAAAACCTATGATAAATATCATTCTTATTTTTGAAAATTTGGAAGCATTCCACTTAAATCAGTAATAAAGGCATCATCTATCACAGCTCTAACCTATTAAGAATGACTAGCAAAGGTAGTAAGGAGAAAAAAAGAAACAAAAATGTAAAAAGCTGATACAACATGATTACTATTTGAAGGTGATAATGGGAACCACAACCTAACTTAAAAAATACCTGCTCCCCCCAGCCCAAAGAGGATTCGAAACCGGACACATCAAAGCCAATGGGGACATCCCTGACACTCTCCCCTGCCCCCAGTGCATCACCGTGAAAATGAGAAGAACTTGTGACTCCCAGCTTCACCCAAGGGAAGGAAAGGGTTGATTTGCGTGTCCAGAACCCTCTATTTTCTCAAGGGTGCTCCCGCAAAGGACTGACTTCTGTCTTTCAGTCTCGGCACTCTGACGCGTCTGGTACCGTGGAGCCACACAGGGAAGAATGAAGGTGGTGACCTTGGCTAGTGACATCATTGATTCTACCCCCATACAGGCTGAAGTCAGTGGGGGAAAACCCTACAGAAGTTATGCAAAAAGAAAACGAAGAGGGCCATGGCTGCAGCACAGAAGGTTAAGCTACCACTTAAGACGCTGGTATCCAATCCCACAGTACTGGTTAGAGTCCAAGCTGCTCTATTTCTGATTGTGGCATTCCTGCTAATGCACCTGGGAAGGCAGCAGAACATGGCAGAAGTACCTGGGCCCCTGCCACCCACATGGGAGAGCAGGATGGAGCTCCTGGCTCCTGGGTTTGGCCTGGCCCAGACCTGGATGTTGCAGCCATTTGGGGAGTGACACAGCAGAGGGAACATCTCTGTGTGTGTGTCTGTCTCTGTTTCTGTCTCTCTCTTACACACACACACACACAATCACTGTGATTCTGGATTTCAAATATGTAAATCTTAAAAAAGAATCAAAGAACATCAATACAAAAAAATCAACAGAACACATAGGAAGACAAGAGGGGAAAACACAGACAAAAGAACAAGACTAACAGTAATCAACTAACAAAATGACAACAGCAAATCCTTCTGTATCAACAATGACTTAACAGCAAATGATTTAAACTCCCCAAAAGACCATAGCTGACTATATGTGCCACCTTTAAGAAATTCATTTTAGGGTCAGTGTTGCAGTGCAGCAGGTTAAGCCACTGCCTGTGGCACAGGCAGTCCATATGGGCACCAGTTCAAGTCCCAGCTGCTCCACTTCCAATCCAGCAGCCCGCTAATATGCCTGGGAAGGCAGCTGAAGATGGTTCAAGTGCTTGGGCCTCTGCACTGATGTGGAAGACCTTAATGGAGTTCCTGGCACTTGACCCAGCCTAGGCTGTTGCAACCACTTTGGGAATGAACCAGCAAATGGAAGATACCATTTTCTCTTTCTTTCTCTCTCTCTCTCTCTCTTTCTCTCTCTCTCTCTCTCTCTCTCTCTCTCTCTGTAACTGCTTTTCAAATAAATAAATAAATCTTAAAAAAAACTATAGGAAAATATCCCTGATGGATACAGAAGCAAAAATTGTTAACAAAAGGCTAGCAAACTGAATCCAACAATATATTGTTAAAAGGATCACACGGGGCTAAACTGTAACGTAATAATTAAGCCTACACCTGCAGTGCTGGCATCCCATATGGGTGCTGGTTCATGTCCTGGCTGCTCCTCTTCTGATACAGCTCTCTGCTTATCGCCAGGGAAAGCAGCAGATGATGGCCTAATTGCTTGGGCCCCTGTACCCACATGGGATACCCAGGAAAAGCTCCTGGCTCTTGGCTTCAGATCAGCCCGGCTCTGGCCATTGCAGTCATTTGGGAAGTAAACCAGTGGATGGAAGGCCTCCTCCCTCTCTCTCTCTCTCTCTCTGTGTGTGTGTGTGTGTGTAGTTCTACCTCTCAAATAAATAAAAAGTCTTTAAAAATAAAAAAAAGAAGGGAGACGAGGAGAACTAGAAGAATCTGAAGGAACTGTGGCCAGATGTCAAGATTTACTGAAGGGGGCCGGGCTGTGGCTGGTTCACTCCCCAGATAGTCACAATGGCCAGAGCTGTGCCAATCCAAAGCCAGGGGCCAGGAGCTTCCTCTGGGTCTCCCACACAGGTGCAGAGGCCCAAGGACTTGGGCCATCATCTGCTGCTTTCCCAGGTCATAGCAGAGAGCTGGATCGGAAGCGGAGCAGCCGGGACTCAAACCGGCATCCATACGGGATACTAGCACTGCAGGCAGCAGCTTTACCTGCTATGCCACAGCGCCAGCCCCGGACATCATATAATTTCAAAGTGTACCTCTTTATTTTCTTTTTTTAAAGATTTTATTTATTTTCTTGAGACACAGAGTTACAGAGAGAGGGAAAGACAGAGAGGTTTTCTATCCAGTGGTTCACTCCCTAAATGGCCACAATGACTGGAGCTGGGCCAATCAGAAACCAGGAAGCAGAAGTTTCTTCTGGTTCTCCCACACAGGTACAAGTGTACCACACAGGTACAAGGACTTGGGCCATCTCCCACTGCTTTCCCAGGCCACAACAGAGAGCTGGATCGGAAGTGGAGCAGCTGGGACTAGAACCGGTGCTCATATGGGATGCCAGCACTGCAGGTAGAGGCTTAGCCCACTGCACCACAGCGCCAGGCACCAGCCTGTACCTCTTTACTTTCTGATGGGACCATGATGCCATTACCTCTCCTTAAAAATTCCTCAAAACAACAAGGGAACAAACAGTTGTCCCTCCTAGTCATCGTTTCCATGACTTCAGGGCTATTTTAATCTTCAGTGGAAGAACAGCCCCTTGGCCGGCGCCATGGCTCACTAGGCTAATCCTCTGCCTGCGGCACCGGTATTCCAGGTTCTAGTCCCAGTTGGGGCACCAGATTCTGTCCCGGTTGCTCCTCTTCCAGGCCAGCTCTCTGCTATGGCCCAGGAAGGCAGTGGAGGATGGCCCAAGTGCTTGGGCCCTGCACTCCATGGAAGACCAGGAGAAGCACCTGGCTCCTGCCTTTGGATCAGCACAGTGCACCAGCTGGAGCGCACCTGCCATAGCGGCCATTTGGAGGGTGAACCAACTGAAGGAAGACCTTTTTCTCTCTCTCTCTCTCTCACTGTCTAACTCTGCCTGCCTGTCCAAAAAAAAAAAAAAAAAAAGAAGAAGAATAGCCCCTGTCTCCTGTCACGTGAGGTGAGAGCCGCTCCCGAGAACGCTCTAAGAAAATTGTGTCCACACCTTTGGCTTCGATGACCATGACCCTGTGCTGCAGGTGGATGAAGGGCCGGATCAGGCAGAGCCGTGGCTCCTGCTTCTGACTCAGACAGATGCCGTTGTGATTGACAACCATCCAGCTCCGGTCGTACAACAGCCCTTGCTTTCCTATAGGCCATCTGCTCACCTAAACACAAAGGTAGGTGTAGTTTAGGGCAGGGCGCCTTACAAGTGTGCACACCCATGCAAATGGACCTCATTAACTCGGCACACGCTCTTGAAGGAAGAAGGGGAGGAAGGAAAGAGACAAAGCAAAGAAGGCAGCGCAAAGGCATGGCGGGAGCGCGAGTCCATTCAGCCTGCAGGTCCCCTCTCCACCTTTCTCCACTTCTGCCGGGGTTTACAAGGCAAGGCACATGCATGGCACCACCTGCAGAGGGCACCAGAGGACTGTCCTACCCCACAGATGCCCTGCTCTGTGTGTATCCCCCAGCAGCATGGATCCTCACAGCACAGACGCACGCCTTCACACCTTCACAAACAGTGGTACACTGAAACGGTGACTAAGTTGATTCACTGTTAAGTACACACATTTTCTAGAATTATCCCTATTTCTACAAAATTAAAATACAAACTTTATACAGGTCAAGCTTTCCAAAAGCTTCCTCCAATAAGAACTGAAATTGCTGGAGAAATCATTGCTTCCATGGCTGGGTCGGGGACCACGCGAGAGGAGCCAGGGGCAGCTTGTAGTGCCAGGAAAAGGAGGAAGAACTCAAAAGACAAAACAATGCGGGCAGGTCCCGGGGATGCAGAAAGCTCGCCAGATGGCCCAAGCTGGAATACCTTGAGATAAGAACGCAGTGTGGGATTATAACCCAGAGCATAAATTAACATCCAAGAGTTCACACTGATAAAATACATGACTGAGTGAGTAAATAAATGGAGGAGAAATCAAGGAGAAAGACAAAACTCCTTGATAGAAGAATTCCAAATATTTGTGCAAAAGCTTCCCCAGGCTTCAGTGTGGGCCCCACATAGGGGCTGCTTCCAAAGCGTCCAGTATAGAAGGGAGGCACTGAAGCAATTTTATAGCAAAGCAGCCCGGCAAAGGCTCCCTCGGCCGGGCGATTCGGGTTAACACGGACAGTGGCAAGTCCTCTTCACAGGAGGCACCCTGATGGGATATGGCCAGACGAGCACTTGACGCGTGTGGTCTGCCCCCAGACATAAACCCAGAGATGGTCTAATCGTGAGAATGCCTTCGGGCAAGCCCAAGCCCAGGACCGTGCTAAACCCTATCTGCCAAGCACCCCATGAAACTCGCACAGTTACCGAAAACAAGGAAAGTTTGAGAAACATCATGGCCCCCAAAAGCCTAAGGAGATGTGTCGGCTCAGTGCCACACGACACAGGCTGGGGTCCTGGAACAGAAACGGGACATTAGGGGAAAACTCAGGTAGTCTGAATGTTATTAGTTATGACAAACACATCACAGAAATATAAGGGGGGAGGGGAGCACAGGGGCCGGGCTGGCGTGGCGGGGCAGCATTAAGCCGCCAGTCGCAGAGCTGACATCCCATACCGGAGGGCAGGTTCCAGTCCCAGCTGTTCCGCTTCCCCTCCAGCTCCCTGCTAATGCACTTGGGAGAGCAGCAGCAGATGGCCCAAGTGCTTGGGCCCCTGCACCCACATGGGAGACCCAGATGGAGCTCCAGGCTCCTGGCTTCAGCCTAGCCCAGCTCCTGCTGTGCAGGCACGTGGAGAGCAAACCAGCAGACAGAAGATCTCCCTCTGTCTCTTCCTCTCTCTCTCTCTCTGTCATGCTGCCTTTGAGATAAATAAATACATAAATCTTTAAAATAAAATGTTGCAAAGAACAGTGCTGGCAGCTTGGAAGATCTGTAAAGTGAGGTATGAATGGTCTTTCTGGTGTGTGTTTCTCAAAACAGAAAAAGACACGGAAGGCCAATATAAATTTAAACTCAACAGAGCCTCGTGATGGAGACAACAAACAGTGCCAGCCTGCAGGGAGTGGGCCTCAGAAGTGGCCACGCCAGGGTAACAGGGGCATCTGGGTGTTTCTAGCTTTGCTTTGCCTTCCATGCAGGTCTCTGAAGTACAACTGCACTGCCCAAGAGCTGTCCTAGTCCCCACCAGGGACTTTTTTCAGCTAAACCCACAGACAGAGATGTCAAACCTCGTCATCTCCCCCACCACACCCTTGTGGGACGGTGAGACCGTGACATGCTGGGGTGATTTGTTTTCAGTTGCTGACGCCTGTTGCAGCATCACATAACTGCACAGGAGCCCAGGCCCCAAAACAGATGAGGCCACACACAGGACCTTGCTGTGGGTCCCTGAGCCATCTCGGGGGCTGACGGGGATAATCAGCTGGAGGTTACATATCCATGGGGTCACATTCATCTCCACTTCCTTCCCAAGCTACGACTCAACCAATTCACTTTTCACCTCCTCCATTTCTTCTATGAACCCTTATTTAAGCAAGGTCATGGTTACCTGTGACCTGGAGAGAACTGTTCTGCTCGTGGCCCTGCTGGCTCCAGGCAGGTGTCCTTGCCCATAGATTAGCTGTTAACAGCACCTGCAGGCGACAGCACAGCTGCAGTGTGCCCTCCACAAGGCTCGTCCCCAGCTGGTTGTCTGCTAGGCAAAGGCCAGCAAGACAGCATCGCTCTCTAAGGAACCGTCAATCTATTTCATTCTCTTGTTATCCTCCGAGCACTTAGCTCACCTGCCCACGGGAATGTGAAAACTTAAGATGGGAGCCTGAACAAAAGAAGGCAACTGTTACTTAGAGTGCATTCTGGGGGCAGAGAGGATGCACACTTGCACAGATCCTCCAGGGGGAGAACTCAGGAAGAGGCCCTGTGGAAAGTGGAGAGGAGGAGCCGGAGGGCCCAGGGGCAGGTGCAGAAGTGAGGGAAGAAGAAAGCCCCCAATGGCTGGGGCTGGGCCGGGCCAATGCCAGCAGCCAGGAACCCAATCTAGGTCTCCCATGCGGCTGGTAGGAACCAAATGACTCGATCCATCACTGATGCCTCTTAGGGTCTGCGTTGGCAGGAGTCTGGAGCCAGGAGACGAGCCAGGGACAGTGTGGAACATAGGCCTCTTACCCGCTGGGCTACATGTGCCCTCTAGGAAGAGGGATTTGAGTCTAACAAACCTGGGGACAAGGCCCAGCTCAGGCAGGGACGAGCTCCGCACAGCCGGCTAACCTCCCCGAGTCCTGCTTTTGTCGCGCGTCAAAAGGAAATGCCTAGAAATTTCTCAGAGGAGCAGTGTTGTGCTGTAACGAATGTCCTCACCTCAAACGCAGCACAGGATTTGATGGGGTAGAGGTAAATGTTGGTGACAACGTGAGTCCCAAGGTCCCCATCCGGGACAGGGGCAGCTCCTGAAGACGTCGTCGGCTGGGCTCCCACGGCCTCACACGGAGCTGGGCACAGGCCCACAGCGGCAGCGGCAAGGGCGGGGAGAGTGCCTTCCCGAGGGGAGGGGCTGCTTGTGTCCTGGCCAGCAGCCCGGTCCTGGGCCGCGCCCCTTCCCAAGGCATCCGCAGCAGGATGGGTGGTGTGGCCGGCCGCCGGGTGCAGCCAGGTGGCTCGGATGAATGTGAGAAAGGCCTGGGCGTCCTCCAGGGTGGACATGTACCCGAAGGAAATCCTCACGGAGCCTGTCGGCTGCCCGTCTATGAGGTCCACGTTGTCTCCACAGACATGACCAGCCTAGAACACGGGAGAAGCAAATCAGCCAGCGTGACCCCCGCCTCACAGGCAAACCCCAAGCGGTTTTGCAAGACCCATGGTGTTGAGCTTCAAAATCAGAGTAGTTGCTAGTTAAATAATGCAGTAACAGTAGTGGTGGCCGGCACCGCAGCTCAATAGGCTAATCCTCTGCCTTGCGGCACTGGCACACCGGGTTCTAGTCCCGGTTGGGGCACCGGATTCTGTCCCAGTTGCCCCTCTTCCAGGCCAGCTCTCTGCTGTGGCCAGGGAGTGCAGTGGAGGATGGCCCATGTGCTTGGTCCCTGCACCCCATGGGAGACCAGGAGAAGCACCTGGCTCCTGGCTTCGGATCAGCATAATGTGCCGACCGCAGCGCGCCAGCCGTGGCAGCCATTGGAGGGTGAAGCAATGGCAAAAGGAAGACCTTTCTCTCTGTCTCTCTCACTGTCCACTCTGCCTGTCGAAACAAAACAAACAAACAAAAAAACAAACAAACAAAAACAGTAGTGGTAGTTAAGACAACAGTTAAAATTCTCCATCCCACATTGCAATACCTGGGTTCAGTACCTGCCACTGGCTCCTGACCTCAGCTTCCTGTTAATGCAGACCCTGGGAGGGAGTGGTGATGTCTCAGGTACTTGGGCTATCTCAAGTACTACCTATGGAGACCCAGATTGAGTTCCTAGCTCATGGCTTCAGCCCCAGCCCCAGCCCCAGCCCTAGCCTGGCCCTGGTCATCATGAGCATGTGGGAAGTGAACTAGCAGATGGAAGCTCTCTCTCCACCCTCCTCTCTCCCTCAAGTAAGTAAATAAACAAACCAATAAGTAATAAACTGTGGGGAGCAACTCGGACTAGACTGTTACTGAAATTAAGACTTATTCTATGCATCTGCTCTCCCACAATATGGCGCTGGGAGAGGAGGAAACAGCTTCTACGCAGCTGCCTCCAGTTCAACCAATAAGCAGCAGGACCTGCTCCTGATTGGAGGAGAGCAGCGTACTCGGCGTGTGGGTAGCAGAGTTGGGATTGGTGGAAGAGGACTATAAAGGAGGAGAGAGACAACATGCACCAGGAACATCTATCTGAAGGAACACCTGAGCAGCCCCCGAGAGAGCCGGCTGGCGGTGTGCCGCTCCCCCGCGGAAGTGGGGAAAGTGGCAGGGGGAACCGCCCTTCCACAGAGGTGGAAGAGTCGGTAGCCAACCCGGGAAGAACCAGCAGCAAACCCGGGAAGGGCCGAGCAGACGAAAGAACAGCGCAGGGTCCTGTGTCATTCCTCCACGAAGACGGGGAGCGACATAATGGTGCCGTGACTCGGATATGAAGCCTAGGCAGGGTTTAGTGTCGTTCCTCCATGAAGAGGGGGAGTGACAATAAACAGATAAAATAAAGTAAAATAAAATGATCCCGGAAGATGGCACTGCAACACTACCATGCATGTGTGTGTGAGAGGCACACTTCAGTCCTCCATGCTCAGGCACCCGCTGGGAGGGCCTCACCTTGCTGACCTCGAAATTGGAACTGACAATTTAATGGAAATACTTCATGGACAGTGTTTGCCCAGAAATGGGTGCAGTGCTGACCTGTGCAGTGTTGAAAGCACAGAGGAGTCAGCTTCATGACTGCCCAGGGCTGAGGCAGGAGAAACACCGCTTGGCCACCCTCTGGCCGCCCTTGTCACTGAAAGGAGGTCCACAGCCCTGAGAGCTGCCCTGTGACAAGGAGAGGACAAAGGAGCTGCCCCTGAGGACAGCCTGCCCAGGGCCACTGCCAATATATAGTCAACACGCGGTCTTCATCCAGGAGTAAGGAGAAAGGTCAGCCTGTTATAAATCTTTCTGACAAGTTTGCTTGCTATTATCACAGGTCAGCATAAAACATATAAAATACCTATTTGTCTTTTTTATTTACAGGCCAAAGGCGTCGGTCGCTCCCCCTCTTCGTGGAGGAACGACACAGGACCCTGCGCTGTTCTTCTGTCTGCTCGGCCTTCCCCGGGTTTGCTGCTGGTTCTTCCCGGGTTGGCTACTATCCATCCCTTCTACCTCCGTGGAAGGGCAGTTCCCCCTGGCCACATTCCCCACTTCCGCAGGGGAGCGGCACACCGCCGGCCGGCTCTCTCAGGGGCTGCACAGGTGTTATTCGGATAGATGTTCCCCTTAGATGTTCCTGGTGAATGCCGTCTCTCTCCTCCTTTATAGTCCTCCTCCGCCAATCCTAACTCGGCTGCCCACATGCCGAGTACGCTGCTCTCCTCTAATCAGGAGTAGGTCCTACAGTTTATTGGTTGAACTGGAGGCAGCTGCGTAGAAGCTGTTTTCTCCTCTCCCAGCGCCATATTGTGGGAGAGCAGATGCATAGAATAAGTCTTAATTCCAGTAACTCAGTCTAGTCCGGGTTGCTCCCCACAACCCCAAGACATGGAGCCGTGGCATTCCACAGGGTCGAACATTAGATCCAGAACTACCCTATGTGCTTGGAGCTTCTCTCCCCTTTTCCTTTGTGTGCTTGTTCTTTCTCTCTCTCTCTCTCTCTCTCTCTGTCTCTCTCTCTCTCAAGGAAACCCCAGCTCATAGGTGGTTAGGACCTAGTATATACACCATGTGGTGGCAACCAAAATAAACTCAAGTTAGATACGATTCCCAAACAAGTTGGGGCTTTTTGCCTTTCAAATTACCCTTACGAAATAACTCAAAACAGGCTGCACCCCAGAGTGCAAATCCTCAGCCAGCCCAGAGAAGAGCTAGGGAGGGAGGGGATTCAGGGAGAGCCCACTGCACCCCCACGCCCGGCGGAAGCCGACTGTGGCTTCAAGGCGATACCCCAGGAGCAGGTGGACTAACATCCCTCTTAGTGCCCTCGCCACCATCCTATCCCTCTCCTCACAGGGAACAATGAGTGAGAATGCCCTGCCACAGAGATAACACCTTGCAGCACTTCCCAGTTTTGTTGGCCCCCTTTGACTTCGTACATCCACAGAGTGGGCTCTGAGAAATGAGCCTGCACCCCCACCCCACCAAGACACAGGACAAACCGCAAGCGCGGGCGGTGGTGCTGCCCTGGGTCTGACTGGCCAGGCCTTGGGCCCCTGGACCAACCTGGTGATGCTTCTTGACCATCTCGTTGCTGATCTGCAGGTGCCTCTGGCAGGCGCCGGTGTTGCAGAAGCAGCCGGTGCGCAGGTGGATGTTATGGAGACAGGCCATTTTGTCCACCTGCGGATTAAATGTGACACGGAGCCAGGTTACAGATCTCTAGTTTACTCTGCCTTCTGGGGGTGAGGGCGTAGGGAGAGAGGTTAAGATCAGCATTTGGATCACAGAAGTAGGCTTAAGAAATGTGGAAATAGGGTCCGGCGCTGTGGTATAGCAGGTAAAGCTTCTACCTGCAGTGCCAGCATCCCATATGGGTGCCGGTTCGAGACCCAGCTGCTCTGCTTCCGATCCAGCTCTCTGCCATGGCCTGGGAAAGCAGTGGAAGATGGCCTGAGTGCTTGGACCCTTGCACCTGCATGGGAAACACGGAAGAAGCTCCTGGCTCCAGAATCAGTGCAGCTCCAGCCATTGCAGCCAGCTGGGGAGTGAACCAGCAGATGGAAGACCTCTCTCTCTCTCTGCCTCTACCTCTCTGTAACTCTGCCTTTCCACTAAATAAATAAATATTTAGAAGAAAGAATAGAAATGTGCAAATATCTGACTCAGACCAAATCTCAAGCTCAGAGCCAAAAAGTTTCCAGCCAAGTTCACAAGATGACACCTCAGTGGGGTTGCAGGGCTGGGACCCTCCCAGAGCAGGCCCCAGCCAGGCACTGTGCGGCAGCTTGGGGCCTGACAACCAGCTCACTCCTGGGCTCATGCTGGGTGCTCCCTGGGTGCTTTGCCTAACTTCGGGTTCAATTACCAAATCTCTACAGGTTCCCAAGGCTCTCGCCTGCCCTCTGGCGGCTCTGGGAGGTGATGCGAGGTCAATGGCACTCCGGGGATTGCCTGCTGGACTCCTCCAGTTGGGAGCAAGGAATTTATTCCCCCAAGGGCCTTGGGGCAGGGAAAGTCCTCAGGCAGAACTCAGGGGGAGGAGTCACCTAACTGCATTCATCTTGCCGGTGGCCAGAGGCAGTGAGGAGTGACCACTGGTGACCACTGTCACCAGGCACTCAGCCTTGTCGAGACCACGCTGTTTTCACTTTGCCGGTCTCCCTTGGTCTGTCAAAGAAGCAACCAGACAAACTCTGATCCCTCACCACGGGCAGAAAGGAGACCTGAGTGACAGGCAGGAGGCCCCCAGCTCTGCAAGGTGAGACCTGGCAGCAGCCCTGGGTCCAGCCACCTCCATCACCAGCCAGAAGGCCCCATGGCACCCCCTCATCCCCGTATTCACTGCTCAAGTTGTCACTGCTGCTACCCCGTCACCCAACTTGGCACAGAGGAGACTTCCACCTGAAGGCTGGGGATGACTCAGCATCCCCGGGAGAATCGCTCACTCATAGAGGTGTCTCGTCCCCAGGCTTGGGGTGGGGGTGGGGAGCTCCAAGTTTAGGTCTGAAAAACCACAGTTCCCTGGGCTTGGCCTCTCTTGGTGTCGTGGCTTGCTCACAGCGTGGCAGCCTTGGGTCCAAGACAGTGACCTAAGTGGTAACTCAGGGGTCCAAAAGCGAGTGACCGCCGAGAATGAAACCAACACAGCACCATCCCTTTTGCCTGCCTCAACACCACCTCTATGGCATTCTGTGGGTTACCAGCAAGCCACAAGGCAGCCCGGCTTCAAGCAGGAGAGACAGCTGTCCAACCTTCCAGGAAAGGACTCTCCGTGTTGGGAGACCGAGGAGCGCGTGACTGCGAGACACTGTCGCAGCCTCACTTAATTTGCCCTGATTTCCCATTTGGGACTTGGTCTCCTCCGGCCCCCAGCTACCCAGGCCCAGCCAAGGAAGGGAGCCTCTGTGCTTCATGGGCATGTATTGGGCACTTAACAAACATTTTTATGTGTATTTTCTCCTGGTCCCAAGCTAAGGTAGACACTTAACCTGCTAACAATACGGTGAGTGGCACGCGCCAGCGTGGTCATCGCCACTTCACCGACTTTTAGAGAGCCTACGTTAACTTGCCCACGCCCGTGGAGCCAGCAAGGGGCGGTGAGAGCCTGAGCCGGCTCTCCTACTGCGCCCCTGGTGCACAGCGACTTCCAGGAGCAGCGAGGGAAAAACTAAGAGGCCCAGGTTTCAGAAACAAGCACCCAAGATCTCAGAGAGGGCTAACTGCTCTTACACACCCTCTGAAAACGAGAGAGCCAGATCCCGCCACCACGCAGGCTCATCTTCCCAAAGGCCACTGTCACCTCCATGAGACTCCCGTGAATTCCCTCGCTGCAGGGAAACCATAGCTGGACGTCGCTGGACCCGCACAGCCAACCACGCCCCAGCCACGGAGCCTGCTCACAGGGTGAGCTCCCTCTGCCCCCGGCCTCCAGGAATGAGAGTCCCCAACAGCCGGACAGGAGCCTGCTCCCCGCGAGTCCTCCTCTTTGGGGCTTCTCCCCACTGCCCGCCCCAGCACACTTCATGGTCATCTACTGCTCTCCCCACCCCTCAGTGAATACAAACGTGCTTTAGAGTCATGAATGAAAATTATATATGGAGAAAAAGCTAAAGACTCCACCAAAACGCTATTAGAATTGGTAAGTAAATTCGGTAAAGTTGCAGGACACAAAGTCAATGCATAAAAATCAGTAGCATTTTTAGATATTAAAAACAGACTTGCTAGGGGTCGGCAGTGTGAGGTAGTTGGTTAAGCCTCCAACTGAGATGCCAGCATCCTATATGGGTGCCAGTTTGTGTCCCGGCTGTTCCTCTTCCAATCCAGCTCCCTGCTAATGGCCTGGAGAAGCAGTAGAGGATGGCCCAAGTGTTTAGGACCCTGCACCTGCATGGGAGACTTGGAAGAAGCTCCTGTCTCCTGGCTTCAGATCAGCCCAGCTCTGGTCATTGCGACCATTTGGGGAGTGAACCAGCAGATGCAAGACCTCTCTTTGTCTCTCCCTCTCTCTATCTGTAACCCCACTTCTCAAATAAATAAAGAAATCTTTAAAAAAAAAAAAAAAAGCGTAAGGCTATTCGGGAGAGATGGGGGTAAAGGGGTGGTGAGAGTGGGGGAAAGTGGGAGAGAAGATCCCTTGGAAACGGAGCGTGTTTGAGAAATCCGGGATTCAACAAGGGCAGAGGGCGCCATCTGCGCCTGTGAGGACGTGACGATGGGTTCCGCTCCTCACCGGACTGCTCTGGGAAGTGCCGCGGGCTCCCGAGCCACTCTGGCGACCACGGGCGACCACGCCTGGGCGCTCAGAGCAGCTCTGGGTGTTTCAAGGGAACAGGAACAGGCCAGCTTAGCCAGCTGCGGCGAGGTTCCAAGCAGTTCCGACCTGCAGCCGGCGTGCCTGGTTTTGTTACCGGGAAATACCGCCAGGGGATGGAGCCGCAGAACCCATTTTAACCAACCCACTAGGTCCTTTGAGCTCAGAATACGCACAAACGAAGCCAGAAATAAGGGCTTCTGTGATAGCACGTTCATCGTGGCTATTTCTCATTTAAAAAGGGCTCCGAGTTCCAAACATCAGGCAGAGAAGCGGTGGCGACAGGCTCTCGTCTTGCGGGACATCGTAAAACGGTCTGGTTATCCGCGGGGCCGCCAAGCGGCCCCTGAAAGGACCTCAGCGATAGAAGCGGACAGGAAATGCCCTCGGCTGCGGGCTCCACCTCGCTGCCCTTCTGCCCGTGCTGTTTCAGGGCACCCTCCCTCGCGGGCAAGCTGCCACCTGTCCACTTCCGCTGCTGTCAGAACCATCAGCCTCTCCCTCACCTGAAATCGACTACTCCTGGCTGAATAAAGAGGGCGGAAAAAAATATGAGGGCACTGCAAAAAGTTCACGGGAAAGGAACTAAAAGGTAAGTTTATTGTGGTGCAGAGAACTTGGGAGTCTGAGGAGGGTGTTTAGCCTAGCCGTTTAGCTGCCTGTTTCCCGCACGGGAGTACCTGGGTTCAATTCCCGGCTCTGGCTCCTGACTCAGCTTTCCGGAAAAGCAGACCCTGGGAGGCAGAAATGAACTCAACTAATTAGATTCCTGCTGTCCACAAGGGAGCCCAAGACTGCAGTCCCAGATCTGGCCTCAGCCTGGCCCAGCCCTGGCCTTTGGGAGGCACTTGGGGAAGAAGAGTGGATGGCGCTCTCTCTCTCTGTCTCTCTCTCTCTCTTCTTTTCAATCTTGAAAAAAAAAATTGAAATCCATCCATACATGGGGTCGTGAAAAAGTTCATGGAAAATGTATATTATGAATAAATAGTACATTGATTTCAAAATTCTAAAAGAAATTTATCTCTTCAAATTTTTATTCCTTTTTATTTGAAGGACAGAGAGAAAAAGACAGAGACAGAGAGACCCACCCTTGTCACCTACTGCCTCCCAGGGTAGGCATTATCAGGAGGCTGAAGCCAGAAGCAAAGCAGGACTTGAACCCCGGCACATGGGATGCACAGGTGCCAAGCAGCATTGCAACTGCTGCTCCAAATGCCCACACCAAAACTTAACCTGCAAATCCATTCCTCCGTCAACTTCTTAAAGTCCTCTCCTACTAATCGCAGTGCCAGGACTGCGTGTCAATGAGGGACAAAGAGCTGTAGGAAGGCCAGGGGGCCTCCCCAGGGTGCCAGGGCAAGAGGCAGAGAAAGCCCACCTGGGAGTAACCAATGACGTCCCCGTTGTCATCCAGCACGTTGAAGTTGATGATTGGACCCTGAACCTCAGGGCTGCTGAACTCCGTGTCGCTGTAAATCCGCACCACGGGGGCCCCGTTGGGGTACCGGAGAGAGGACAGGGCAGTGTAGGTGTATCGGGCCAGCGAGAAGGTGTGCTGCTGTATGTTCTCCATGCCGCCTAGGAATGCAAAGAGAATCAGGAGTGCTATGCAAAACGCACCCACTTTTATGAAAACAAGCTTGAGGGGCTGGCATTTGTCCTACCCGAGTGCCTGGGCTGGATACCCAGCTCCGGGTCCTGTTCAACTCCCAGTGCAGACCCCGGGAGGCAGTGATGCTGGCTCAACGTAACAGTTCCCAGGCCCCAGTTTCAGCCCCCTCCTTTGCAGGATTTGGGTGGAGAACCAGCAAACTAGAGCGCTTGCGCTCTCTCTCTCTCACACTCTCAAATAAATATAATCTTTTTAACTCAACAAAGAAAAAAATGAGCTTCTTACAGCTTCACACCTGGACACCATGTTAATGTTTTACATATTTGTAAATACTGCACGGTGCCACCCTGACAACAAATGTTTAGGCCTCTGGAACTCAACGCCAGCTTACTGTTACTGATTCTGTGGAATCTTTTCATAGAAATTCTTGTTGACCTCTTTTTCTTTTATAATGCTACTCTAAGGCACATAATTTATATCCTTTGATCACAGGTAGCAAAACTTATAAGTCAGGTGTGGCTGCTGCGACACAGCAGGCTAGGCCACTGCTTAGAATGCCAGCGGTCCACATCATGGTGCCTGGTTCAAGTCCAGGCTACGCTGTGCTGCCCACTCAGCTTCTTGCTAATGTGCCTGGGAGGCAGCAGCTGATGGCCCAAATACTTGGGTCCCTGCCACCAATATGGAGGACCCAGATAAAATTCCTGACTCTTGGCTTCTGCCTGGCCCAGCCCCAACCATTGAGGTCATTTGGGGATGAAACCAGCAGATGGAAGATTCTCTCTCCCTGTTTCTCTCTCTCTCTCTTTCTCTCCTTCTCTCTCTGTATCTCTGCCTTTCAAGTTCAAATTTAAAAAATCTTAAAAATACGTAATTTTTTTTTAAACATACCATTGTTTGCTATTTATTTTAATTAACATTTAAATTATTTTTATACCATGCAAAGCAATTAAGGATACATGGTTCCACATGGCTGAACCTTGAGAACATCATGCCAAATGAAATAAGCCAGACACAAGGAGACAAACATTGCTGTCTTGTAGGAGGTGCGTGGGACGGGCAGATTCCTAGAGACAGAAAGCAGAAAGAGGTCCCTGGGACCTGGGGGAGGACGGGCTGAGGAGCTGTTGTTTAACAGGTGGAGCTGCAGAGGATGGAGATGATCTGGAGGTGGAGCCTGGAGGATGCTCAACAGGGTGAATGTTGCTGAGTTGCACTTTAAACCAATAAAGTTCAGGAGCCGGCACTGTGGCATAGTGGGTAAAGCCACTGCTTGCAGTGCTGGGAGCCATATGGGAGCCTGTCCGAGTCCCAGCTGCCCCACTCCCAGTTCAGCTCTCTGCTGTGGCCTGGGAAAGCAGTAGAAAATGGCCCAAGTCCTTGGGTCCCTGCACCCTCATGGGAAACCTGGAAGAAGCTCCTGGCTTCAGATGGACCTGGCTCTGGCTGTTGTGGCCATTTGATGAGTGAACCAGAGGATAGAACATTCTCTCTCTCTCTTTCTCCCTCCCTCCCTCTCCCTCTCCCTCTGCCTCTCTAACTCTACCTTTCAATTAAGCAAATAAATCTTTTTAAAAAACTGATAAAATTTATCTTATGTATATTCATTTTGTTAAAATATTTATTTATTTATTTGAAAGAGTTACACAGAAAGAGGAGAGACAGAAAGTGTGTGTGGGGGGGGGGTGGTCCTTCCATCGCTGGTTCACTCTCTAAATGGCTGCAAAGGCTGGAGCTGTGCCGATCTGAAGCCAGGAGCCAGGAGCTTCTTCTGGGTCTCCCACATGGGTGCAAGGGCCTTCTTCTGCTGCTTTCCCAAGCCATAGCAGAGAGCTGGATCAGAAGTGGAGCAGCCGGGACTCGAACCGGCGCCCATATGGGATGCCGGCTCTGCAGGCAGCGGCCTTACCCGCTGCGCCACAACGCTGGCCCCTCTTACATATATTCTTCAAAAAATGCAGTTAGGTAGGAAAAATCAACATTGGCCAAATTGTGGCCGAATGATTAACCTTTGCTTTCCCAGGTCCCCAGACCCCGTGGCCTGCAGTCTTGGTGCCCTGTTCAGGTGTCTCCTCGCAAAGCGCTCACTTTCCAGTGCCCGTCTTTACCAGTTCCTGCCTTTGTCAGGGTGACGCCCACCCACCTCCCTGCATTCCCATCAGTGCAAACCCTCTCTTCCCCCAACACTGTCTGCCCCTGGTTGTCGGGTGAAGGCTGGGACCCACAAGGCTCCCGTTACTGGGACCCTGTCTGGGCGCAGTGCCATCCCTGTAGGACAAGGACAGGCAGCACCACTCACTCCAGAAACCCAGCCTCTGGTAGGAGCGCCCAGGAGCTCAGCACTTCGGGTGAAACGTGGCTGCCCAGCCAGAGGTGCTTCCGGGGCTGTTCTCTGAGAGGGAAGCGGCATCTCTCTGCGTGCACCCCCTGACCTTGCACCCTGGTCGCCTCGCAGGACAGAAGACAAGCATCGTGCAGTGCTGTCGGGGGAGACAGTGGTTTGGAGCTCAGGGTCAGGCTCTGGTCTGACCTGGGTGTGAATCCTTGCCTCAGGGTCTGGAACCGTTGCTGGCTCAGAGGCCGGTGCCGGCACCCCCACTTCTGCGGAGCTGGGAATCTCCTGATCGGGATGGCGCCCGCCACCTCACGACTGAGAACACAAACACCGGGGCTGGCGCCGTGGCTCACTTGGTTAATCCTCTGCTTGCGGCGCCAGCATCCCATATGGGCGCCGGGTTCTAGTCCCGGCTGTTCCTCTTCCAGTTCAGCTCTCTGCTGTGGCCCGGGGAGGGCAGTGGAGGATGGCCCAAGTGTTTGGGCGCCTGCACCCACATGGGAGACCTGGAGGAGGCACCTGGCTCCTGATCAGTGCCGGCCGTGACGGCCATTAGGGGAATGAACCAATGGAAGGAAGACCTTTCTCTCTCTCTCTCTCTCTCTCTCTCTCTCTCACTGTCTATAACTCTACCTGTCAAATAAATTAAAAAAAAAAAAAAAAAAAAGAACGCAAACACCAATCCTGCTTTCTGCCTCACTGCCTGGCCCGCACTCAGGATCCGGTGCTGGCGCTTCGCCTTCCCACAGCACCCCCTTCCTCAGAACCCTGCCAGGACTCCATCAGAGACACAGGCAACAAGAGCGAACTCGCCCTTCCTTTAGTGCAGGTTAACCTTGTGATTAAGTCAAGTCAAAGGAAGTCATTGTAAAAAGTCAAAGAAAAATAAGAAAGGGGGGGGGGTGCGAGGGAGGGAGAGTAGACTACTCTTAACACTGCATACATGAAATACATGAAACTTTTTCCCTTTATATACACTTTTAAAAAGTAAAAAAAAAAAAGGGGGGGGGGGCCTACACTGTGGCATAGTGGGCTAAGCCTCTGCCTGCAGCACCAGCATCCATATGGGTACCGGTTTGAGTCCTGACTGCTCCACTTCCGATCCAGCTCCCTGCTATGGCCTGGGAAAGCAGTGGAGGATGACCCAAGTGCTTGGGACCCTGCACCCACATGGGAGATCCCGAGGAAGTTCCCGGCTCCTGGCTTCAGATCGGCTCAGCTCAGTCGTTGCAGCCATTTGGGGAGTAAACCAGGAGATGGAAGACCTCTCTCTCTCTCTCTCTCTCTCTCTCTCTCTCTCTCTCTGTAACTCTGCCATTCAAATAAATAAATCTTTGTTAAAAAGTAAAATAAATAAAGAGCCAATTCTGCATGGACAAAACGTGCCTGAAGGGGCAGGCATTTGGCAGAGCAGGAGAAGCCAGCACCCACCCTGCAGTGCCTCAGGTTGAGTCCGGGCTCCTCGGCTTCAGACCCAGCCTCCCGCTAGTGCACACCCTGGGAGGGAAGGGACCAGAGACAGATTGAGCTCTGGGACCTGGCTGTGACCTGGCTGCTGTGGGTATTTGGGAGTGAGCCAGCAGATGGGAGGTACCTGCTTCTGTCTGTCTTTCAAATAAATCAACGAAGACTCAGAGAAACGATGCCCACTGACCTGTGAGGCGCTCCAGGGTGTCGAAGCCATGTTTTACGGCAATCACGTCAAGAAAGGAGATGGTGCCGTCTTCAAACCTGCGACCACGAGGGGGGAGGGGAGCAAGGTCAAGCTGTGGCCAGCACAGTCCCCGTGTGTTTTGTGGTCTGGAATGAGGTTGTCACTTCAGGCTTAGTGGGATCTGCCAATAGCTTCCCTCTGCTGCTTCAACATACTGCCGTCCCCACAGGAGAGGGAGCTGAGCATACCAGACTCGCTGGCTGCCCCTGGCTCTAGCCCCGTCTGCAGCTCCAAATGTTCTCGTGCGGCAGTGACCACGAGGGACCCTGAGGCACAGCCCCTGTTTGGGGAAGCTGAGGAGACAAGAGATGCTCCATTGTTCCCTGGAGAACATTGAACTGCACAAAACCTCAGGGGCTACAAGCTCCTGAAATACTTCCCTCTGGCCACCAGAGGGCAGCACCGACAGGGCGTCAATTCAGGGCGCTAGGCTGTGCGCTCTGAAGTTCTTGACAAGTCTATGGCTACAAGGCCTGTGCAGGCTTGGGCTCAAATCGTGTGGCTCTCTTGGGTACAACAGATGCACACCTTCCTGGTGATCCAAGTGTTTGTTATGTCTGCATTTCACAATTACTCATTTAGTTCAGAATGTTCACCAAGCCTGGACTGTCCACCTACTGGGTGCCAGGCACTGTTCTGACCGCTAAAGCTACAGTAGGGAGGCAAAAATCCCTGCCCTCATTATGCTCAGCCTGTGGAACAAGCACAAAACCCAACACACATACAGAGAAGCCCAGGAAGCCCCGAGCCAGGCGGTGAGAAGCGCCGTGAGGAGGCGGCAGCAGGAAGGGGCGGGCGGCAGGGTAAGTCCTCCTGGGGAGGGTCATTCGAGCCAACACTGTGTGGAAGTCAGAGAGCAAAGAAAGAGCGACTTCTGATTAAAAACTAATGGCCCCAGGTACAGCGGTAACAGAACTTCGCTGTTTCCACGGGCTTTTTTTTTTTTTTTACCTGTTTTCATTCTTTTTTTTTTAAGTGCTAGCTGTCTCTGTAATTTTGTTCAGGTGACTGCAGAACCTGGAAAAGCTGTTGCTGCTATTGATACATAACACACTGCTATTACCGGTCTTTTCTATAAATATACACATCTATATCATGGAATTTTTGGAAACTTTAGCTGTGCTGTTAACTTTGAGAAAAGCATCCCTGTTTACCGTGTTGAGTCAGCATTGTACAGAAATTAACAGCTATATTGGCCAGAAACATTAAATTTTTCCCCCATTTGTACAGGAGTAATGCACCATATTAAATATGTGGGTTTGATTACAGAACTAATAAAGTATTATCTAAATATTAAGGAAGGAAGGAAGGAAGGAAGGAAGGAAGGAAGGAAGGAAGGAAGGAAGGAAGGGAGGGAGGGAGGGAGGGAGGGAGGGAGGGAGGGAGGGACTTTTTGAAAGAGCTAAGTTTCTGAGGGAAGCAGCACTCCCTGGAGCAGGAGCTGCCCGTCACCTAGCACATCCTGCACAGGGCGGGGGCAGCAGGAGGTCCGCGCGTGCTGGGCCTCAGCCGGCCAGGGGAACAGGGCGGCAGGTGGGGTCAGAGCAGCCGCAGTGGCAGGGACCCCACCCTGCAGGAGCCACCCAGTGTGTGCTGGTGAGCTCTGCGCAGAGGCTTAGCTCCGTGGGACCTGGGCTGGAACAGGGCCCCCTGGCTGCTGGGGGCAGAAAACAGGTGAGACAGGGAGACGTTTTCAGCAAGTGTGCAGCTGAAGGATGGTATCCAATGGCAACCTCGAGCGAGCGGCATCTTGCAGTGGAAACACCGTGGCTGTACTGAAATCCTGTGAATAGGATTCGCTCCACCTGTTACTGTCATTCCCTCGCAACACTGATGCTAACGAGCAGACGTTCAGAATTCATAATGAGTTCATTTTAATCACTAATAAATTAGCAATAATAGTATTAAGCAGCTAATTATCACTTAGTAATTCGTTGACTGGCCATTAATGAATTCACAGATAATCATTAAGTGATGCTGTTCGCTAGTAATAAAACATTGACCGCTAATAAATACTACTAATAGCTTACTCTTAGAAAAAGTGTTTTGTTTCTAAGTCTTATGTAAATATTTCATCGAGTTATGAAATGCAAGAGGCTACGGTCAGCGTAGAAGGTAAAGCCACCGCCTGACATGCCGGCATCCCATATGGGCACCAGCTTGAGTCCTGGCTGCTCCACTTCCAATCCAGCTCCCTGCAAATGGCCTGGAAAGCAGTGGAAGATAGTCTGAGTGTTTGGGCCCCTGCGCCTGCGAGAGAGACCAGGAAGAAGCTCCTGCCTTCAGCCTGGCCCAGCCCTGACCCTTGCATCCATCTGGGGAGTGAGCCAGCAGATGGAAAATCTCTCTCTGTGTAACTCTTTCAGGTAAATCATTTTTAAAACTTTTTTAAAAATAAAAATAAAATGTAAGAGGCTAAGAGCATGGCCCAGGTATGTGTTCAATAAGCATTTGAGCTGGGTATTAGGTCACTTGGGTTCCAGTCACAAATTCACAAGAAAAACCGAGACTTAAAATGGTGAATACCCTTGTTCTGCCTTCTGGGAGTCCTGGCGTGGCACGTGGTGGAAAGCGATCCACCCAATTCAAAGGGAAGGGGTCTGGCTGGGCCCGGCTCACCCACGTCCTGGGCCCCACAGCTGCCCCACTCCCCTTGGCCTGCAGATGCCCTGGTGGCCAAATCAAGTTTGGGGTGTCGTTTTGATCTGCCTTTAATTTCCATCACGTGCCTGTCATTCTGTCCGCGGGTGGCTTATCAGAGGGTCGATGACCACACTTGGGTGTGAAGAATTTTCCATCAGCACCACTGTTTCTGCATGCCCCAGCTATGGAGAAGTCCTAAATGAAACAGACATCGCACAGCCTCTCAGCACGAACTGGCAACACTCCGCCCTGCTGCTCCACCGGCACCAGCTCTGTGGGGATGGATCACCACAGCCGCCTGGCGGAGAGACCAGGAGGTGCAGGGAGATCAAGCCGCCCGCCACCGTGGCTGGCATGCAGTGCCGCCAGAGTCCACTCCCCAGGAGGGGAGGCCAAAGGCTGGTGACAGCTGACTCCACTGCCAAGGCCATGGCCCTGCCTGCGGGCTCCTTGAGTCTGTGTGGGGTCTGTGGGATGGGACTCTTCTTCCGCCCCAGCAGGGGGATTAGTCCACTGACCCCAAAGCCATGGCATTCGTCCTCCATCCCAACCCTACGCCGTTAGTCCCCATCTGAACCCCACGGCACCCCACTCTGTCATTCCCTGCAGAACCAGGGCCACTTCCACCCTCTCGCACAGTCAACCTTGTGGGCCCCGGCTGCCACCACCCGGGAGATTCCCCAACACAACCTCGGCACCTGCCCCTGCCACGAAGAAAGGGGCACAGAACAAGGCGCCTGGGCGGAGGCCTCTGGCCTATGTGGGGAAGTGGCGGACTGCCCTCACGCTTCCTGATGGCTCACAGAGCCTGCACCACCAAGGTCCCGCTCCTCAGGCGGCCTCTGTTTCAACTGGCTCTCCTTGCACACTCACTACCACGCCAAGTTGACTGCGGTCACTGGAGAACCAGCTCTCCTGCCAATGCACACGCATGCTTGTTCCTCAAGCTACCATGTTTAAAACCCCCCGATTCGGCAGTTGCCACCTTTGGCAGGACTGCAGGACAAAGGCCAAGTGGGCCACCCTCCTTACCACCTCTACCTGCAGGCCCTGGCTCTACAGCTCCTAGGGAGAAGCCCACACACTGGGGGCAGAAGTCACCGACCCACCGCCCATGGCAGGCTCCAGCCTACCTCTGCGTCCTGGATCTGAGCCCGGTCACCAGTCTGTCCCTGCCAGCGACAGCCAACTCCTCTGCCCCCTGGGCCCAGATCCACCCCTTGCACAATCAACCAGTGGCACGCGCCAGGGCCCGGCCTCGCTGATCTGCACAGGCCATGGCACGCAACAAGATTACCTTTCTGTCACTGACGATCTGGGGACGTAGAAGTCTTCGCCCACAAGGTAGGCAGCGGCCGTGCCTCCTCCAAAGTAGGTTTTCCTCAGCAAGGGGGCCACACGGTTATGGACCAGCAGGGCACCCAGGCCTGTGGGGAACCCGAAGATCTTGTAGAAGGAGATGGGGACCAAGTCGGCCTGATGAGCCGACAGGTCCAGGGGCGACGTGCTCACGTAGGAGGCTGCATCCAGCAGGACGAACCACTTCCCGGGTGTGCTCACAGGGCTCCGGCGCCCAGCCTTGACCTCTGCTATCCAGGACAAGGGATAGCGAGTTCCGGAAAAGTTACTCTGAGCCGGGTAGCAGAAGAGATGTGGGAGCTGGCAGTCGGGGTCACAGGCTGCAGCGCCCCGTTTTTCTGCCAAGCGCAAATCTTCAGGCCTGACTGGGATGAACGTGACGCCCACGGCCATGATCGCCTTCCTCATGCCCACCACGGAGGTGTGGCTGTCCGTGAGGTAGCAGAAGTGGCTGCCGCTGCTCTCTGGGCCCCGGGACACCCAGGGAAAGGCCTCTGCCACCAGCTTGAGTGCCGCGGTGCAGCCGGCAGTGAAAATCACACTGTAGTCCTCGGGGCTGGCGTGGAAGTGGGCCAGGATCCTGCAGGAAGCACAGGGTCACCAACCACCAGGGCTTGCAGCACCGGGGCGAAACATCTACTAAATAGGACCCAGCGACTGGAACAGCTGGGAGAAAAGTCCAGAGAGGCTCTGCAACCACTGTGATGCAAGAGCAGAGGCAGAGGAAGTTGGGGGAAGAGATGACAGATGGGTTCAAACAGGCAAAATCACTTCACCTCCTAAAACCCGCCTCGACTGGAGATGACAGCAATCCATGATGACCTGAATCCTAGTTGAAAATGCCCGCTCTCTGGGGCTTGCTCTCCAGCCCTGCCACAACAAGCTTTACGTCATCTGTTGGCTTTAGACGCTTCTAACAGTGGCAACCCCAAGGTGGTGCTGGGCGTGGCAGTTAAGAGACCCGGATGCTTGAGTTGCATACCTGTCTCCGGCCCCCAGCTCCCGGCTCCAGCTTCCTGCTAGCGGAGACCCTGGGAGGCAGTGGTGATGGCTCAAGGGGTTGGGTCCATGCCACCCATGAGGGAGCCCTGGACTGTTTCCAGCCCCCAATTAAAGAAGTGAGCCACAGATGAGATCTCTCTCTCTCTCTCTCTCACACACACTTTTGCTCTCACTCTATATCTGCCTCTCAAATAAATAAATTTGAAGACATATATTTATTTAAGATTGGCAACCCCTACAGTAAAAATATGATTTTCAAATTTGAAATTATATTCATTCAAGTTAACTTTAGGTACCAGCTGAAGTTATTTGCCAGGAACCAATTATTATACATGGAAAGGTACAAAGAGCTGTTTAATGTGCCAAGAGCAGAAAGGGGGGGAAAAGAGATGAATAAAAAAAGAGGCCCTAATAAAGCCAGAGAAACCATTTTTTCTTCTTCTGAAAACACCACCCAGGACCTTGGTCACTCCTTATCACTCTGGCTCCGGCCTGGAGCCACACAGAACAACTCAGAGCCACCAGCCTGCACTTCCGGTCTGCCCCGCTCTGCACTCACCCCTCACTTGCATATCGGCTGATGCTGATGCCTCCTGTGATGCACACATTGCCTTTGAGTGGGATCCTGAGTGGGACCCAACTCCACCTTTGTGGGATGCAGTGGGTGGTAGCTGGGAAGTCTGTCCATCCAGAGGGCCCGCTCTAGCACATACCCCGTCACTCACCTGTAGCGCACCTGCTCCACAGTGTCGTGGGTGAGCTTGCTGCTGGTGTTCTGACTGTGCGGATTACCTGGCAGGTTACAAAGACAAAGCCATCAGGTTACTATTTTAGTCTCTCTTCTTGCATCCCTTCAGCATCTCCTCCCTCAGATTCTCCAAAACTAAACCTAAAACTACTGTATGGTCCAGCAACCCCACTGCTAGGTATCTACCTGAAAGAAACAGACTCCAGATACAAGAGGCCACAGAGTAATGGCTGTTACCAGGAGAAGCTGGCAGAATCCCATGGAACCTGGTGCTTACCCGTGTTGCCACGAGCCCTGTATCACTAGGAACACCTGCCATCCCCTGCGGCCAGGCCGGCTGGCAGGCTCCCACCTTTCCCACGGTTTTATGACACTTGTAAAGGCTGGAGGAGGAGCGTTACAGGTCTGCAAATCACTGATTAAAATCAAGATAAAGGCCCTGGCCGGCACCTTCCCTCAAGACTGTTCCCCAGACATAAATAGCTGCTGGCTTCTCACAGGCAAGAGTCAAATGCCTTAGTGCGCATCATCAGGGCTCCCTAGTGAGGGCCAAGGGCTTGGGCTCTGGACCCAGAGTGTCCGAAGACTCAGCCCCCAGCTCCAGCAGTTCCTAATTGCAGAGCCTCGGGTTAGTGACCGATGCTCCTGGGCCCATTTCTTCCTCTGCAATGCAAGGCTGACAGCACAACCTACAGCTCCAGAGTTGTGAGGATGAAGACAGCACACATGGAAAGCGTGAAGAACAGCACCTGATGCACGCATGCTGAGGGCTCCGTGACTATTACCCATCACTATTTCCACCACCAACACTGCAACTGCTCCTGCTACTATTATGTCCCAAAGCTATCTCCTGACCTTGCTGTGCTGTGACTAATGCTCTCAGTGATGGCCCATGTTCCCAGAATAAAGATCAAGCTCCAGGCCTGGCGCTGTGGCACAGCGGGCATAGCGGGTAAAGCCGCCGCCTACAGCGCCCAGTGCCAGCACCCCATATGGGCGCAGCTTTGAGTCCCGGGTGCTCCACTTCTGATCCAGCTCTCTGCTATGGTGTGGGAAAGCATTAGAAGTTGGCTCAAGTCCTTGGGCCCCTGCACCCACGTGGGAGACCTGGAAGAAGCTCCTGGCTCCTGATTTCAGATCGGCTCAGCACCAGCCATTGCAGCCTTCTGGGGAGTGAACCAGTGGATAGAAGACCTCTCTCAGCCAGTGCCGTGGCTCACTAGGCTAATCCTGCGCATTGTGGCGCTGGCACACTGTGTTCTAGTACCGGATTCTGTCCCGGTTGCCCCTCTTCCAGGCCAGCTCTCTGCTGTGGCCCGGGAAGGCAGTGGAGGATGGCCCAAGTGCTTGGGCCCTGCACCCCATGGCAGACCAGGAGAAGCACCTGGCTCCTGCCATCAGATCAGCGTGGTGCACCGGCCGCAGCGTGCCAGCTGCGGCAGCCATTGGAGGGTGAACCAACGACAAAAGGAAGACCTTTCTCTCTGTCTCTCTCTCTCACTGTCCACTCTGCCTGTCCAAAAAAAAAAAGAAGAAGAAGAAGAAGAAGACCTCTCTCTCTCTCTCTCTCTTTCTGTGTCTGCCTCTCTGTAACTCTTCCTTTCAAGTAAATAAATAAATCTTTAAAAAAAAAAATCAAGCTCCAGGCAATGCCCTGAGCTAAAATGTCAGAGCGCCTCTCTACTTCTGACCCAGCTCCCTGCTAATGCACTTGGGAAAGCAGTGGGAGAGCTTGAGCCCCTGCACTCACGTGGGAGACCCAGATAGACTTCTTGCTTCTAGCTCCTGGCTTGGTACTGACCCAGCCCCAGCTGTTTTGGCCATGTAGGGAGTGAATCAACTCTCCCTCTCTCTCTCCCTCCCTCTCCATCTCTCTCTGTCACTCTGCCTTCCAAATAAATAAATAAAATACTTTTTAATTATAATTTTTTTGACAGGCAGAGTGGACAGTGAGAGAGAGACAGAGAGAAAGGTCTTCCTTTTGCCATTGGTTCACCCTCCAATGGCCGCCGCGGCCGGCGCACCGCGCTGATCCGATGGCAGGAGCCAGGTGCTTCTCCTGGTCTCCCATGGGGTGCAGGGACCAAGCACGTGGGCCATCCTCCACTGCACTCCCTGGCCACAGCAGAGAGCTGGCCTGGAAGAGGGGCAACCGAGACAGAATCCGGCGCCCCGACTGGGACTAGAACCCGGTGTGCTGGCGCCGCAAGGTGGAGGATTAGCCTAGTGAGCCGCAGCGCCGGCCTAATTATAATTTTTTAAAAGATTTTACTTACTCATTTGGAAGGCAGAGCAACAGAGAGAGGAGAAAGAGAGGAGAGAGAGAGAGAGAGAGAGAGAGAGAGAGAGAGAGGTCTTCTATCTAACGGTTCATTTCCCAGATGACTGCAAAGGTCAGGACTGAGCTAGGAGAAAGCCAGGAGCCAGGAGCTTCTTCCAGTTCTTCCAAGCAGATGCAGGAGCCCAAGGACTTGGGGCATCTTCCACTGCTTTCTCAGGCCATAGCAGAGAGCTGGATTGGAAGTGGAGCAGCAGGAACTCGAACTGGAGCCCATTTGGGATGCCGGCACTGCAGACGGTGGCTTCAACTGCTGAGCCCCAATAAATAAGTAGTTTAAAAGATGATACGCCCTCTTTGCCAACCCCACTGTCACTCTGCAGATGAGGACATTCATGTCTTCATGGCACCGGGATCCATTTTGTTCAAAGCCCTTAACAGTTGGTAATGACATTGATTTGAAGATCACTTGATTAAAGTCTTGTCTTCCAATACTAGACCACAGCCTCCACAAAGAAGGGGACCGTCCTCATGTTGTTCTCATTGTGGTACAGTGTTCCCCACCCCACAGAGGCTCAGTAAACATCCGTGGAGGGGCTGGTGTTGTGCCACAGTGGCTTAAGCAGCTGCCTGCGATGCCTGCATACCATATTGGAGCGCTAGCTCAAGACACAGCTGCTCTGCTTCTGATCCAGTTCCCTGCCAGTGCTTCTGGTACTTGGGCCCCTGCCCACCATGTGGGAGACCCAGACAGATTTCCTGGCTCCTGGATTTGGCCTGGGCCAAATAGCCATGGCTATTATGGACATTTAGGGGGTCACACATGAATGGAAAGTTTCTCTTCTCTCTTTCAAATAAATACATCTTTTGACAAATTTATGGCAGAGGGGGCCAGTGCTTTGGCATAGTAGGTTAAGCCTCTGCCTGCAGCAACAGCATCCCATATGAGTGCCTGTTCAAGTCCCGGCTGCTCCCTGCTAATGGCCTGGGAAAGCAGGGGAAGATGGCCCATGTGCTTGGACCCCTGCACCCACGTGGGAGACGCAGAAGGAGTTCCTGGCTCCTGGCTTCACATTGGTCCAGCTCTAGCTGTTGAGGCCATTTGGGGAGTGAACCAGTGGATGGAAGACCTCTCTGTCTGTCTGTCTCACTTTCTGTCTGCAACTCTGCTTCTCAAATAAATAAATCTTTTTTAAAAAGGGGGAAAAATGTATGGGATAAGTGAATGAATGGACATTATTCCTGCCTGCGCACCCTCTGCATGGTACAGGGTCACTCGCTGCCACCAAACACAGCACCTTAGACCAGCTGTACCCTTCCTGACATGGATCCCTTCTTCTGGAAGCACCTGTGCCCTTCTTCTGGAAGCACCTGTGCACTCCTGAACCAGCAGCCCCTGAGCACACACATACGACACAGATGACCCAGGGGGCTTGTCTGAGCCCTGTCTGCGGGGCGCTCATGCAGCCGTGTCAGCTGCACGGAGCTGAGAGCAGCGTGGGTGTTTCCTTTACCATAAACGTTGTCCATGAGATCCTTAGTGAAGTTTGCGAGCTGGCTCTGGGCAAACAGGGTGGCTCCCGCATGGTCGAGGTAGACAGTTCCTGGAAAAAAGCACAGGACACAGCCGCGGGTTGCTTCTCCAGGTTCTCCAGCCTTTGTGCCTAAACCTCACTTGTGCAAGCCTGACCTGCACCCATTCAATGCACTTAGACACCGAGTACCCTGAGCCTCTTTGATGTGTGCTTCTAATCCACGTGTGGGCGTGAGCAGTGGAAGAGCCCACGGCGAATGCTGAAAGCCCTTCATGCCTTCAGAGTGTTCCTGAAGAACCAGCCTCTCAGCTCGCTTAGGGAGCTGGGGCAGCCTCCCACACAGCGTGACTCACCCTGTTCTGGAGCTCCCATGGGACATCCCTGATGGGAGAGCCCTGATCCTGTCTCCCCACACGGCTTGCCAGAGCCAGGACTCTCAGAGAACAAGAAAACCAGCTTCCTGTCCCTCTTCTAAAGAGAGAGGTGCAAATTTACACGAGTGAGATACGGTGGTTTACCGCTCAGCTCGGCGGAGAGCGCAAGGCTGGAGACCTCACCATGAAGGCAAGGGTGTGGAGAGGGCTGGGAGCATTTCAGTCTTTTGCCATTAAGTATGATGTTACCTGTGGGCTTTGACATAGATAGCTTTTATCAGGTTGATTAAATTTCCTTTTTTTTTTTTTTTTTTTTTTTTTGACAGGCAGAGTGGACAGTGAGAGAGAGAGAGAGAGAAAGGTCTTCCTTTTGCCGTTGGTTCACCCTCCAATGGCCGCCACGGCCGGCGCGCTGCGGCCAGCGCACTGCGCTGATCCGATGGCAGGAGCCAGGTACTTATCCTGGTCTCCCATGGGGTGCAGGGCCCAAGGACTTGGGCCATCCTCCACTGCACTCCCAGGCCACAGCAGAGAGCTGGCCTGGAAGAGGGGCAACTGGGACAGAATCCGGCGCCCCAACCGGGACTAGAACCTGGTGTGCCGGTGCTGCAAGGCGGAGGATTAGCCTAGTGAACCGCAGCGCCGGCCATTTATTCTTACTTTATTGAGTACTTTTACATTCAAGAACTATTTAACACTTACATACCAGGCACTGTTTAAAGTGCTGAGGACACGGCCGGCGCCGCGGCTCACTAGGCTAATCCTCCGCCTAGCGGCGCCGGCACACCGGGTTCTAGTCCCGGTCGGGGCGCCGGATTCTGTCCCGGTTGCCCCTCTTCCAGGCCAGCTCTCTGCTATGGCCAGGGAGTGCAGTGGAGGATGGCCCAGGTGCTTGGGCCCTGCACCCCATGGGAGACCAGGAAAAGCACCTGGCTCCTGGCTCCTGCCATCGGATCAGCGCGGTGCGCCGGCCGCAGCGCGCTGGCCGCGGCGGCCATTGGAGGGTGAACCAACGGCAAAGGAAGACCTTTCTCTCTGTCTCTCTCTCTCTCACTGTCCACTCTGCCTGTCAAAAAAAAAAATAAATAAAAATAAAAAAAAAAAATAAAGTGCTGAGGACACAACAAAACAGAACTTAGCATAACAGTGGTAAATGGGGCTCCCGGGCCATTCCCCACCTCCCTTAGCACTTCTTGAATCTGGTGTCATTAAAATGTGTTATCTACTGGCTGGCTCAATAGGCTATTCCTCCACCTAGTGGCACCGGCACACCAGGTTCTAGTCCCGGTTGGGGCGCCGGATTCTGTCCCGGTTGCCCCTCTTCCAGGCCAGCTCTCTGCTGTGGCCCAGGAAGGCAGTGGAGGATGGTCCAAGTGCTTGGGCCCTGCACTCCATGGGAGACCAGAAGAAGCACCTGGCTCCTGCCTTCGGATCGGCACGGTGCGCCGGCCGCAGCGTGCCAGCCGTGGCAGCCATTGGAGGGTGAACCAACGGCAAAAGGAGGACCTTTCTCTCTGTCTCTCTCTCTCTCTCACTGTCCACTCTGCCTGTCAAAAAAATTTTTTAAAATGTATTATCTACTAAAAAAAAGGCTTTCAAATAAAATGTTCTATTTTACTGAAGATTCAGGAAAAAAAAGGAAACAAACCAAAAATAACAACAACAACAACAACAAAAAAAGGGTTTTGTTCGGCAAGACATCAAGAGCCTGCCGTGGTCAGGTGGAGCCACACTGCACAGCGAGACCAGAGAGGCTGCTGGGAAGCACCGTGTACTGTGAGTGCCCTCAGTCTTCTGCAGGGCCAGGGAACAGGCTGCTCTGGCCTTGGGTCCAATAGTCAATTCTGGAAAAAGAAGAGAGAGAGTGAAGGAGAGAGAGGAGGGAAGGGAAGGACGGAGGGAGAGAGAGAGAAAGAGAAAGCAACTGTGTTAGGTCAGCATTAGATCTCAGATCTGATCTGAGGTCAGGCAGTGAAGCCATCAGCAGTGCTGAATACCAATCAACCAGCCTGGATAGAGCCCTGGCTCTACCACTAACCATCTGGGACCCCTGGTCCTTCACCCGGGACGTGGGTTCAACAACCTGCTGGATGACAGCACCCAGTCCACTGCCCAGTACCCAGTCAACCTGCCACAGGCTTAGCTGTTATTAGAAGGTGGCCAACTAGCCGGCGCCGTGGCTCACTTGGCTAATCCTCCGGGTTCTAGTCCCAGTTGGGGTGCTGGTTCTGTCCTGGTTGCTCCTCTTCCAGTCCAGCTCTCTGCTGTGGCCTGGAAGTGCAGTGGAGAATGGCCCAAGTGCTTGGGTCCCTGCACCCACATGAGAGACCAGGAGAAGCACAAGGCTCCTGGCTTTGGATCAGCACAGTGCCGGCCGTGGCGGCCATTAGGGGAGTGAACCAATGGAAGGAAGACCTTTCTCTCTGTCTCTCTCACTGTCTATAACTCTCTCTCTCTCTCTCTCACTATCTAACTCTGCCTGTCAAAAAATGAAGAAGAAGAAGAAGGAGGAGGAGGAGGAGGAGGAGGAGGAGGAGGAGGAGGAGAAAGAGAAGGAGAAGGAGAAGGAGAAGGAGAAGGAGAAGGAGAAGGAGAAGGAGAAGGAGAAGGAGAAGGAGAAGGAGAAGGAGAAGGAGAAGGCCAACTACCGCAAACCCAAGTGGCATTCAATCATCTTCCAGAAAGAAGACGCCATGGTCTCTTCCAGGCCGGGCCCCACCCGTTCTTGGTCCCACACAGGGTGAGTGGCCGGCAGTCGTCGCCCCAGGGCATCAGAAGCACCCTTTACTCACACAAGGAGATGCCCCACTGATCGATGAAGGCAAACACCTCGGCACCTGAAGGTTAAGCATTGAATTATCCAGGGCTACCACTGACTCAGACAGTTCTCTGATTGACAGGAAAACATCAGGGGAGGGGAAGGAGAGGAGGAGGCTCTTTGATTTGGGTTCAGTTGGGTTTGTTTGTCTTTCCCTGCCCTCTCTCTTGGGTTGTCTCTACAAAGAAAAAAAAAAAAGTGGACGTGTTCCAAGACGTCCAGCAGTAGGACGGGTGTCCGCTTGGTCCATCCTACTCAATTTCAATCATAGCCAGAGGAAACACTGGCAACGTGCATGAACCAAGGGGTACACACAGCACCGGCGAAAATTCAGCAGAGGTCACACGGCCCTGAGGCCAGCCTGGGATCCTGGTTGCGCATCGGAGAGAAAACCAGGCAGGGCCCAGAACACCACTGCTTTTCCAGGGTTAGTGTCACAGCGAGGTGCCAGCCCACCGCAGGTGCTGGAGAGGATTTAGGGGATTAAGGGGGTGTGGTGCTGAAATAATTACCCACTCCATGAGACAGCCTCTGGGATTTGCTTCAGAAGAATGGAGGGCCTCCCTCCCTCCCTCCCTCCCTCTGCACCTGTGAGTGTTCAAAGCCTCAGTCTCTATTTCTGTGCAGTGAGAAATTTCCCTAAGAAAAAGTTGAGAGAGAGAGTGGGAGCAAGCAAGCAAGGGGCTGTCTCCAGCGGGTCCCCCAGACAGGGAAGAGAGGGGACAGGGTAGAGAGGCCCACAGAAGCCCCCTGGCTCCCCCCTGACTGCCCAGACTTCACAGACAGGCAACACACAAGGAGGAGGCCACAGCTCTGGAAGCCCCCAAAAGGGAGAAAAGTGTTGCTATTCAAAGCAGGAGGCAGTGAGCTGAAATCAGCTATCGAGCTGCTGACACGTGGGTCACCCATCGGGGCTGTTCTGCCACGACCTGGGGAAAGCCACCCCTTGTTCGGCAGGACAGAGCACACATACTCCGATCCAGGTGCCCTGTGCTGCCCACTTCACCCCTCCCTGACCACCGGGCACTCAGGTTGGCGCTGGATGAAGCCGCCACCCAAGCTCTCTGGCACCCCTGCAGAGCTGCGGACCTGCGACAAAGAACTAAGGTCAGCCACGGCCGGATCCAGCTTGATTTCCAATTTCATCAGCCCGCTGCGCCTCGCCACTCCAAAGCGCTGTGCGATCCCGTGTCCGAGCTCCAGGCTCACCCGGTTCTTAAAGCTCGGCTTGCCCGGTTGAGCAATCTTCCAAGCGCGCCGCGAGCTTAGGGCTCCGATGCGTTGTTCTGACGCAGCAGGATGAGACTTGGGAAATAAAAGCAAGCAACGGGGGTTCTCCCAGCCTGCCGAGAGAGCCGCCACGGGAGGACCCTGCCTCGCCGACCGCGCCCGGCGCGCCGGCCGCCCCCACGCCGCTCCTGCCTACCGGCGGCCGCCCCCAGCACTCACAGCCACTGGACCTCAGGATTTTGCAACCTCGGCTCCGGGGGGATCTTTTAGTCGAGGGGATTAAGGGGCACGCGAGGGCGAGGAAACGTCCTGTTCGCGGACGGCAGGGGCAGCTGCAAGGGGCTAGGTGGGTATTGTCCCAGGGACAACAAATCCTACGGATGCGGGTGGGACCCCTCAAGGGCGCCGCGCACCCTGGGTGGACGCGGGGACACATCCCTCCTGGTCTTGCGACACAAAATGAGCCACAAGCGAGGTGGCGCTGCTTCCTCCTGGAGCGCAGCGCCGCCCACGTCGGTTCCCAAACCAGCGTGCCCCCCCGGCGCCCACCAGCCTGCCAGTCTCACCTGCCAGACGGCGGAACTCGCGCGCTCGCAGCTCGTGCAGGTTGCACTGACGGTAGCCTTGGGCGAACCCGGGCGCCAAGACCCGCAGCTCGGCCCCGGGCTCTGCCCCTACGCCGGCCATGGCCCAAGTCTGCCGCCGAACCGTCCGGGCCGACTCGGCCCCGGGAAGTGCGCGAGGCCGGCCCGCGGCGACTCCGCCCCGGCCGCGCCTCCCTGGCCGCCGGTGGCACCGGGTCCGCGGCCCAGGGGCGGCGCCTGGAGGGCGGGCCGGCTAGTCCGGAACGCGCTGCCTGTTGGAGTTTCACTGCCGTCCGGCCCTTGTCCCACCCGGGCGGGAGAAGGGAGCACCACTTTCTCTTGTCGCTCTGAGCAGGCCCGGTGGAGCCCACCAACATGCCCCAGACCCTCGGTCAGCGAAGTTTGGCTGTTGGGTTCCCCTTAGAGGGGGTGGAAGAAGCAACCGAGCGCTCATCCCGGCCCGGCCTCCTGGCAGTCCCCCAGCCTCGCCGCACCGCACCGCGCCCGGGACCCTCGCGTGTGTGCGGCAGGCCGGGTGCTAAGGGGCTTGGGCTTCTCGGGCTGCCGCCGGTCGGTGCGGCGTGAGCTCGGCGTTTTTGGAGAATGCGTCTGGGATCCATGAGGCTGGTTAACAAGCCCTCGGCGGCTGCGCACGCTGCCAAGCAGCCAGAGCACTTCCTCCTCTCCTGCCCCTGGAGCCTGGGGCAGAGCCCAGTATGCAGGGGTCAAGGTGAAGCGCTGGGCCGGGTGAAAGGGTGGGGTGCTCCAAGTGGGGCCCAGGGCCGTGCAGGGGAGAGGAGGGCTCGGAGGGCGACCCCAAGTGAGAGGCCCACTACAGGGGACCTGCTAGGCCAAGAGGACTCAGATGCTGGCCTGGTGGAGGACCTAAGGCTGGGGCCCAGGAGCAGGCCACTGGCCCTCAAAGCACAGAAGGCGGTGGCGCCAGGTGAGACAGGTGCCCGCACCCCAAGCTGGCAGCCAGAGCTGCAGCCTGGCCCAGGGGCCGCAGATGCTGTTGGATGCACAATGACACTTCTGACCAGGTGGCCCAGCCCCTGGGGCGTGGGGGCACCAGGTCAGAGGACCGCAGCCTGGATACCTGCACGCCTTGGTGGCCTCGGCCGGAGGACCACCCAGCTCTCTCCCTCACCGCGAACCCCCAGGACCCTACTCACACAGGGGCATTCTTGTTCTGGAAAGAATGATAGTCGTGCTGAATGAATACCAGTGGTCACCCGTGGCTCCCCCGCCCACCCCACCATGGGCACACCTGGCCATGCTTCAAGCAGGCACCTTGGACACTGGACACCATGTGGGCACACCCCTCTGGCCTGTCACCTTCAATGGGACTTTGGGTAGCCCTCGTGACAACAGGTAGCTTTATGGAGACCTGTGTGCCAGGCACTGCCCTGGGCATTACAGTATAGTGGCACTGTATGCACTGATTCAAAAATCAGTAATAACCCAGGGCCCACATTGTGGCATAGCAGGTTTTAAGCTGCTGCTTGCCTGCTAGCATCCCATATCGGAGTGTTGGTTCCAGTCCCTCAGCTCTGCTTCCAATCCAGTTCCCTGCTAATGTGCCTGGGAAGGCAGAGGATGATGGCCCAAGTGCTTGCCCTCCTGCCACCCATGCGGGAGACCTGGATGGAGTTCCAGGCTCTTGGCTTCAGCCTGGCCCAGCCCTGGCTTTTGTGGTCATTTAGGGAGTGAACCAGCAGATGAACAGATGAAAGATTCTCCCCCCCCCTTTCTCTCATCACAGGCTTTCAAATTTAAAAAACACCTTATTTATTTATTTATTTATTTATTTATTTCACAGGTAGAGTTAGACAGTGAGAGACAGAGAGAAAGGTCTTCCTTCCATTGGTTCACCCCCCAAATGGCCACCACGGCTGGCACTGTGCTGATCCAATTCACCCCCCAAATGGCCACCACGGCTGGCACTGTGCTGATCCAAAGCCAGGAGCCAGGTGCTTCCTCCTGGTCTCCCACGTGGGTGCAGGCACCCAATCGTTTGGTCCATCCTCCACTGCCTTCCCGGGCCACAGCAGAGAGCTGGACTGGAAGAGGAGCAGCCGGGACTAGAACCCGGCGCCCATATGGGATGCTGTGCCGCAGGCAGAGGATTAGCCAAGTGAGCCACGGCGCCGGCCCCCAAAACACCTTGTTTTTATATTAAGTACTCTGATCTATGAAGTGGCTCTTAGTGTTGGGGACGCTGCAGCAGAGAGAGCAGAGGAAGTTGCTCAGGGGCGCACAGCTCGACAATGAGCAGCCCCCTGGGAAGTCAGTAGCATGCACCGCTCCCTCTGCTCCCTCTCCGGCCTGAGTCAGTGGGTGGCAGTGGAGGTGTGGGCCAGGTAAAGGGTGGCACTCCTCCCCCTTCCAGTGAACTCCTGGCTTCCAGCCTGGATCTCCAGGCCCCACTCCCCGACTTGTCTGAATCCCCAGGGGAGCCTATTCATGTGCAGATTCTGAGCCTTTAAGTGCGGGGTGAGGCTGAGGTTCTGAGTTTCCAGCCAGCCCTGGGGATGCTGAGGCTGCGGTCCTGGGCGGGCACTCCGCAGGGTAAGGGCCTAGGTCATGCCTCTGGGAAGGTCCAGAGAACCTGTCCACACAGAGTTCTGTGTCGGCACCCCACAGGGGCGCTGCTTCCCACAGGCTTGCCTGATGACAGCTGGGAACAGGCCAACTCGGTGCCCAGCGCTTGAAGGTCATTAATGGTCACTGCACTGTTATATAATCGAGAAATGTTTCCAAGCACTTGGCTGCACCCACCCAAGACACCGTGGTTTTGATGGAGCGTGAAGATGTTGTACTTATAGCCAAATGAGCCAGAGGACAGCCAGCCACAGGGTGAGGCGGGCTGCCGGTCTGGCCAGCTGCTGGCTAAGGATGCAGGAGTGAACCCCAAAGAGATGAAAAAGGCTGCTTCCTAGAAGGCTGTCCGGAGGGAGGACCCTAAAGGAGGAAGCTTTGAACTGGGCCATGGCAGCAAGAACATTAAGAAAGAGTGTAGGTTGGCCGGCGCCGCGGCTCACTAGGCTAATCCTCCACCTTGCAGCGCCTGCACACCGGGTTCTAGTCCCGGTTGGGGCGCCGGATTCTGTCCCGGTTGCCCCTCTTCCAGGCCAGCTCTCTGCTGTGGCCAGGGAGTGCAGTGGAGGATGGCCCAAGGGCTTGGGCCCTGCACCCCATGGGAGACCAGGAGAAGCACCTGGCTCCTGCCATCGGATCAGCGCAGTGCGCCAGCCGCAGCGGGCCGGCCGCAGCGGCCATTGGAGGGTGAACCAACGGCAAAAGGAAAACCTTTCTCTGTGTCCACTCTGCCTGTCAAAAAATTAAAAAGAAAGAAAGAGTGTAGGGAGTGTGAGATGGGGGGTGGTGCTGAGAGTCTCCTCCCCTACTTTGCACCCTTAGGTGCTCTTCACCAGGATCCCCTGGGCCTCTCCTACCAGAAAAAGACCATCAGATATCATATTGGCTTGCTGTCTTCCTGCCTTAAAGGGGCCCTCTAGCCCCACCAAGAAAAGCCTCGCTTGTGCTTATCATGCAGTGCCCCCCCCACCGCTGCGGCCCCCTCTCTCCTGTCCAGCTGCTGGCCCTGGAGCCTCCGAGGAAGCTGAGCTGGTCAGAGCTGAGGTCCCAGGAGGCAGCTTCTGCACCTCTAGCTTACAGCTTTGCAGGAAACAGCTCCTGCTGCTGCTACTGGCAACCTTTGCTCACCTGAGAACCTGAAGCCTCCACACCTGCGGGCCATCGGGCAGGTAGGAGAGCCAGCCTTGGTTTTTTCTTTTCTTTTTTTAAGATTTTATTTATTTTATTTGGTTCACTCCCCAAATGTCTGCAATGGCAGGAGCTGCTCCAATCCAAAGCCAGGAGCCAGGCGCTTCCTCCTGGTCTCCCTGTGGGTGCAGGGACCCAAGGACTTGGACCATCTTCTACTGCTATCCCAGGCCATAGCAGAGAGCTGGACTGGAATTGGAGCAACTGGGACTAGAACCAGCACCCACATGGGATGCTGGCGCCGCAGATGGAGGATCAACCCGCTGCACCAGGGCACCGGCCCCCAGCCTTAGTTTTGTAGTTAAAGTTGCTCCCTGTGTGTGAGACTCTGTGTGGTGGTCTCACTGAGCTGGCTCCTGGCCTCCTGATGACGTCTCCCCAAGTGCTCCTGTTCCCAGCTTAACAGGCCTCATGCCTGGGGGCCCCTAGCAACGTGCCCCATTTGCAAGAATTTCTACTAAATATAAGACATTCATTCACGTGTTCTCTCATTCATTCACTCACTTGGTAAAAGTGCCTCTCAGAGTTAGGTCCATGATAATGGAATCAGAAGGCAGGGCAGGTTTGGGGGAGGTGTTGGAAGGCTCTAAGTCAGGCCCTGGGACTACCACCGCTCTTCACCCAGGATGTGGCAGGCACAGGGAGGACACACCCGTGTGGAGAAGCAGATGGGGCCACAGGCAGAGTGCCGGAGAACAGGCCTTCCCACATAGACGAGGCTGCCGAGTTAGAGATGCCGGGAGACCCTCCCAGAGGAGGAGGTGGCGGAGGTAGGGCTGCATCCCACATGCAAAGGCCTAGAGGAGCAAAAAGGCTCAGAGCAGGGCCTTTGATGAGGCTGACGCATGGGCTGTGGCCGTGTGGATTTGAGAGGGTGAGACTGTGATGTGGCAATATGATATGGGACATGAGCATCTCAAGTGACGTCCTGTTATGTCAAATGCCCACTCCTATAATGGCCCAGGCTTAGATGGTGAGGAAGGGTAGAGGTTTTCCCACTAGCTAAAGCCCAAACACTATTGTCTCTCTAACTTGGAGGCAGTGGGAGGCTCTGACTGAGATGGATCAAACTTCCCACCAAATTGCCAACAATGCTGGCGGGGATGGCGAGCGCTTTCTGAGAAGGCTGAACTGGTTTGGATAAGGAAATTAATTTGTTTTCCCTGGGGCCAGCATTGCGGCGTGGTGGGTTAAGCCACTGCCTGTGATCCTTGCATCCTATATGGGTGCTGGTTCATGCCATGGATGCTTCACTCCCGTTCCAGTTCTCTGCTAACAGTCTGGGAGAGCAGCAGAGATGGTCCAAGAGCTTGGTCCACTGCCACCCATAGGGAGACCCAGAAGAAACTCCTGGTCATGGTTTCGGCCTGACTAAAACAGTGGTGGCTGTTGCAGCTACCTGAGGAGTGAACCAGCG